CGCTTTCTCGCCCCCCTTGAAGAGGGGCGAAACTCTAGGGGGAGAGATAAGAAAAGAAAAGGCCGGAGGCGGGCTTTAGGGTTTTTTAGGGGTTTGATTTGAAGATCTGAACTGAAGAAGAGGAAGAGAAATTATGGAGCCTTGTTTGTTTTGAGGGGAATGTTGTCTGGCTCGAGGACACTCAATTCGATCCCGATTTTTCTGTCTTTCATTTCAGTGGCGTCGGACCAGGCTTCATTCCCCCCAATTGCTTGTCTCCTCATCTCAGTATTCCTCATTTTTCTCAATCATCTCCTCAAGGTTAACTTCAATTTCCCCTTTTGTGGCTTTATTTTTTGTGGAATATGACCTCACTCAGCTTCCCAATTTAATGCCTTTTTTTTCCTTCTTCTATTGTAGCAACCAATTAACTGTAAAATGATTATTATTTTGTACTGTTAGTTATGTTGGGTGGAGATTTTGATGGGTATAATGATGGAGTTATTTGACTGTTCTTCTTTTTCTTCTTGCTTCCTTTTTTTTTTAATAATTTTTTGTGGGTTTTTTTCTAATTGCGCTATGATGGTGTTTTTGTTGTCAGTAGTATAGGCTCTTTCTGAATAATCATTACTCAGATTTCTCTCATGATGGCTTTCAGTATCCCATCTGTCTCTTTCTGTAATTTTCTCAGATCTCTCTCTCTCTCATCTCTCTTCTTCTTCTTCTTCTTCTTCTTCCTCTACCCTAGCTTCATTTTTGGCCCTAACATCAAAATAGGTCTTATTTAATTTTATTTAACCCATGTTTTTGTCTTCATTCCATTTGGGATTTACACAATTGGGTTGTGTTTATTTACTGGATTCCATTGGTTACTTTTCTTGTTTGGAGTGTGTGTGTTTTTATATTACATTCATCACATGGGTAACTTTTGCATGTCTTGAAATTAACCCCATTTGACAAAATAATTGAAACTTGAATTATTTCTTGACTTTAATTTGTGCATGTTGTATGCGTTCATTTGATTATCCATTTTCAGATTCACCCCACTAGTACTGTATTTTGGTCGGTTTATAAATGGCGTTCTACACTTCATTTTTTTATCTTCTTTTAGTGTGTGTGTCAGTTCTCTTTTCACTACTATGTGTTTTGCAGAGAGAGAGAGAGAAAGAGAGTCAAAATGTTTTTGTTTTTTTACTTTTTAACTTTGTTTAATTATGTTATACACTGTTTTTTGGGTTTAGAAAGGCAGCATTTTTATTGTTCTTTCATTTTGACTGAAGAAAAAAGCTTGTTGGTTCAGCTTTGTTGATTAGAAATTTACGTGTTGAAAAAGGAGAGTTAAAAAAAAAATGATGGTGTCCGATAAAGAAGAGAATGGCTCTTTTTTACCTTTGGATCAAAACTTTTAGCTTTGTAATTTTTGTCCCCACACGTACACACACAAAACCTTATAAGAGGACCTCCTCAAAGTTCTCTCTCTCTGTTTTTTTTAAATAAAAAAAAATTGATTAACCCACAAAAATAATCATGCATTATTATCAAGTGGTCTTTTTTTTTTCTTCATATCTGAAAGAAAAGCAAGGACTTTTGGCTTGTCCAATGTGATGGAAGGAAGGGGTTGAAAGTTTGTCAGCTTTGTCTTCTGATATATCATAGAAATCTCCGAAAGCTTTTTAGGAGAAGAATCAAACAAGACTATTCCCAACGATCCAACTGGTAAATGTTCATAAAGATTTGGTCTTTGGGCACTGATTCGAGAGCTGTCGGCCCCTTCATCATAAATTGTTTCCATTTTGCAGAGAGTCAAAATCCATGGACGAAGATTGAGGAAGATGAAAAGATCTTATGTTTTCTTCTCCATGGGAGGGTGATGGGGCAATGTCACGGTTTGTTTGTTTGTTTCTATTAGAATATTGCATCCAAGGTGGAGGTTTGAATCTATGATCGAGAATGAGACGAGCCGAAATGTGTCAGTTGACATATTTGAAATGGGTTTGGCTAACTTTTTCAATATTGTATTTTTGTTCATGTTGTAATGTGTGTGGTATGAGACATACTTTTTTTTTTTTTGATTGACTTTGCAATGGGTTGTGTTGGTGTGTACTGCTGGGATTTTGAAAATGATGAGAGAGTTCTTTGGAAAATGTAAAAGTCAAAATTTCAAGTGTAAGACTATTTGCTTAGTTGTAAGTAGCCCTCTGAGGGGTAGTATTGTCTTCTAAATTTTACTTTTAAAATCCTTCAAGTATCATTAATGGAGACTTAGAGAGTTTACAAATCACTAAAAGAAATATAAGTTAAAATTCTAAAATGGTAACAATTTGACTTTTTTTTAGTACAATGAGGATAGAAGTTATCAAAACTTAGAAGTTTCCTCTGATGATAAACCACAAAGAGTGAGCAATAAAAGAAAAATTAGTAAAAAATTTATATACGAAGAGAATTAGTCAAAGGAAGTAAGTATAAAGTAAAAGTGTTTAATGAGATATTAGGTAAGAAAAGTTGTGCGGTGTGAAAAGAAGTTAGTGAAAAAAAAGTTTATGAAAAGTATACTACTTAGAAAAAAAATAGTGTCAAAAAAAAAAAAAAAGAATGGGCCTTGAGCTGGTCCATTCATCCTGGTTGAAGTGGTATGTTCGGGCTAGCGTCCAGCCCAACACTTGGCCCATTATTAGCCCAAATGGTAAAGTTTATGGGCTCCACACTCTCAAAGGCCTTCCTCCCCTTTTTTGAAGTAATTAATAATCCCAATTAGGCAATTACCAAAACTAACTAATCGCCATAGCCTGCAATTCCAAAGAGCACTAAAAATTTGAGAAGAAAAGAGGTAATTAATTCATTCATTGCAAGATTTTCAACAAACACCATCATTCTTTTTTGTTTGGTGGCCATTTAATATAGTTTTTTTTTTCTCATCTTAAAAAATTTGAAACATGTTGGATAATTACTAATTACTTATTACAGTTCTGGCTCAAAAAAAGGAAAATAATTTCAAAGATATCTCTCTCTCATATCTAAATTTTGAATATTAAATGGAGAAAAAAGTAGCCAAGTTGAAAATTCAATCAAATACTTAAAATATATTCCATAAAATAATTATATAGTAATCTCTTGGGTTTGTTGGAAAGGCAATTGTCAATCCTTCCCACTTTGTGTGGTTCTTTCCGTCCCTTTCTTTTTTAGAATCTCACTTTGCATCTTTAATGCTTTTTCTCCACCATGTAATCATAGCTTCAAATTCATATAAAATAATAAATATATGGCTAATCATATCAACTACCAATTTAAATTAAGTATCGATAGATACAACACCTAATACCATTTTAAAATAGAATTTCAACTATAATATTAAGGGTTTTATTTGATAACGATTTTATTTTTTATTTTCTATTTTTAAAATTTATTCTTGTTTTCTCACATTTCTTTGTAAGTCTTTTAGCTTTGTTTAAAATGCATCTGAATTTTTAGAAAAGTTTAAAAAAAATTCATTTTTTAAATTTCAAAACTTAGCTTAGATCTTGAAAGTATTTTTAAAAAATTTAGAACAAAGACAAATCGAAAATATATATGTATGAAAGTAGTGGGTTGTAAGCTTAATTTTCAAGAACATAGAATATAAAACAAAAATAATTATCGAACAAAACCTAAATTATGACTTTATTACAAAATATACGCATTTGATTTGATTTGTTATCCCCTTCCAATTCCTAAAGAATCCTTCTTATTTTAAATTCAACAGGATGCTTCACCCCCAATTCTTAATCGCAATTTATTAATATTCTTTCAATAAAGCTTGATGTGGTAGCATCCCATTAATTTACACATCCTGATCCTCTCACTTCTATGCTCCCCTAATTAACTAACCATCCGCATAATATAAGCACCACATAATTTGACCTAATTAATTTAGTCTCCATCTTTTCAATTAGTGAATTAAATGGTTGGCTCAAGTCTCGTTATCGTTTTTCTTTAAATTAACCGTTGGATCATATTTTTCACTAACATGACAAACGGTTGATGACATCTTGAGATCATGCATGTGCCAACAAAATGTACAAAGCACATGGTGGCTCTTGATGGGCTAAAAACGTGACAAAATACACTTTTGAATTAATCATTAATGTATATTTCTATTATTCGTCGTGATAAAAAAACAAAAAAAAAAAGATAGAGGTTTTGGATGATAGGAGAGAACTAGATTTTCTTTTCTTTTAGTTCAACAACATGTAAAATGAAGATTCGAAGTTCCGAAATTTTGATCGATGATATATAGACCTTAGATGACATTTTCCTCTTTTTTACTTGAATTTCTAATTAGAAAATATTACTTATTATTGTCTTAAATATGGTTTGTTTTCTATTGTACTTTTCAGTACGTCAACTATAATAACAACTTTATACAATACTTTTAAGTTGTTTTAACACAGCGATGAGTATTCTTCAAATATCCAAAAAGTTGGTTTAATTGATTAGAGATGGACGTGAAATTTAGCACCACGTCTCTTTGATATAATGATCATAGGGTTTTAATCGATACATTTACTAGTTCAAATAACATCTCAGTACCAGTTGGTACGAGAATGAACTTTTTCTCATTATTTAGTTGTTGTGGGAAAATAAAAGGTAATTAATTAGAAAGAAATTTTGAGAAACATGGGGACCAAGAGTTGACTGTTACGGGAAGACATGTTGATGTTGTATGTTGAGGAGCCTCATTTGTCGGTATTAAACTGTCGACTGTCGTTTTGCCCTCTGCCCTACATTAAACGACACCTCATTGTCATGTCGGCTCCTTCACTTCTCTGGGGCCCACACTAATCTACGTGTCTTCCCTTCTTCCACACGCGCGCTTCCCGGACACGTGCCTTCTCTTCATTAATTCCGTTATACGCCACCGTATTAGATATTTAAGATTGCATTTAAGAACTAAGTGAAGGAACAGCTGCACCTGCACCCTGCACGCACCATATAATTTTTTTCCCTTCTTTATAAATCTCTCTTTATACACTCGGAATTTTCTTTAATTTTGTCTGGAGACTTCTTTTAATTTAGCTTTGTTGAGAATAAATAGTTTTTTTTAAATATTATTTTAGTTTTAGTTTTTCCTTTTACTTTTATATTTTTAAAATATTTATTTTAGATTCTATACTTCTATTTATTTTAGTTTTTGTCCTCTCGTTCAAACCGTCGGTTTTAGTCTTTGTAGTTTTAAAAAGGAATTGTTTTCGTATTTCTATTACCTTTATCTTATTTTTTCCATCAAAATTAGACATAAGTTTGTATTAAAATTATTTTCTTAGGTAAATAATTTGTAAAAAAAAAAACTAAAACGGTTCATTTTTAAAAGTACAATGTGACATTTTGAAAATGACTAAAATTTAAATAAACTAAAGTCATAAATCAACAAAATAGTATTAATTTTTTTAATGTTAGAACGATCTTAAAAATTTTATTTTGTCATTATTATTTAATCTGTCGAGTATTTTGACAAATAATTTGTTTTCCAATAATTATGAGTTTATAGATAGTATACAATAATATTATCAGCTCCTACAAATCATTCTATCACATCTCTTAAAATAATTTTGAAAAAGAAAACTACTCTAAGAATCCCTTTGTTTTTAAGCTTTATGCATACTTTTGAGAATGTTTCACAAAAATTATATACATATATAACATAATCAAATAATTTATTTTCTAAAAGTTATTATATATAAACACACACACTATATAGTAAATCCAACATTTGAACTAAATTTCTCCCTAAAGGTTAAAATATAGTTTTCATTTTTAAAGTTTAATATCTAAAGTTTAAATTATATTATTTAGAAATTAATAATTAACATTCGCGTATAATTAATCGTACAGTATTATTCTACACCCACAAAGAAACTAAGAAACTGAAAAAGAAACAAGTCGAAATTAAAAATTAGGAAAAATAATAGAATTTATATATTAAGCATTTAATATCGGACAAAAAAAATCACATAGCTTTTTCTAATAACAAAAGATTAATATTTTTTCTTCTGAATGCAAAAGCAGTGATTCGAACTTCCTTGAGTATCTTACTAGCGGAGAAAAAAAAAATAAAAATTTAATTAAATTATAATTGAAGGGGTTGAAAACAAAAAATTTAATACAGTCAAGAAAGAAGTGGATGCTTTTATATTTATTTTATTTTATGGGAACCCACTTCCAAAGTAAAAGTTCCACTTTGTATGGTTTTTAATTGAATTGCGAATTTCTATATAACCAAACCCTAATTCGTCCCTCTGTGTAATTATGAGTGTTTCAAATTCAGCCTCAGCCATGGCCAATTCCAACAATTTTTTTCCAACTTCCTCCCTCAGCCCCACACTACTCTCTTCTCCATCACTTCCAATTCCCCCCATTTCACCCTCAGATCCATGGCCTTTTCCTTCTAATTGAATTTCCCATCCCCGCAAAAAAAAAACCCTAATTTCAAAATCCCCCTTTTTCTCACCATTTTAATTTAATTTCTTCCTAATTTGGATATTCTGGTCCAGATGGGCGGCGGAGATAGAAGCACGAGGAGCGGCGGCGGCGGCGGCGGCCACGGCAAAAGGCAAGGCTCCGCCACCGCCGCCGTCCCGAAAGGGTGCTTGGCCGTGAAAGTGGGCCACCAGGGGGAAGAACAGCAGAGATTTGTGGTGCCGGTGATGTATTTCAATCACCCGCGGTTCATGCAGCTGCTCAAAGAGGCGGAGGAGGAGTACGGATTCGACCAGAAGGGGACAATCACCATCCCTTGCCACGTGGAGCAGTTCCGGCACGTGCAGTGCATGATCGACCGCGAAAATTCCTTCCGCCGGCACCACCACCACCACGTCGGATGCTTCCGGGTTTCATTCTGACAAAAAAAAAATGAAAATTTTATTCCCACTTTTTTTTTTCTCTGTAAATTTCTCTGCAATTGGAGTCTGTAATCCCAATCCAAATAAATACTTCCATAAATATACTTTTTCTAATTTTGCCTTCCCTTCCCCTAATTTCTTCACACCCATGAACAACAAAATTTTAATTTTCCATCAATTTTATTTTTTGATAGCTAATCACGATTATAGTGAAAAATAATTCCAAAATTCTGTACCCAATAGCCGTGAGCCTCGTGTGAAAAGAAAATTGAAGAATTTTCCGGGGAACTTTAGTCTTTAATGATGTGGGGAGACTGGAGAGTGAGCCGTGTAAAATTAGCTTTTCTAACAGACATTGACATTTATTTTCACAAAAAATTATTATATATATAAATATCAAATTGTCTATTTTTCTAAATAAGAATTGCAAAAGCTTACCATGCACTGTGTTATTGTACAATATTCTGGACGAATAAACTTTTTTTGTGCTAATAAAAGTTAATATTCCTTATTCAAACATAAATTGCAAAAAGTGATCTTATGCTCTAGACTCTATGTACATATTGCTTTTGTCATTTCAATTTCTTTTCACTTGTGTTTATAACGGAGAGCAAAAGTAATTACAAAAAAAAAAGATAAAGATAAAAAGGTGTACTACGATGTTTACATACATGTAATTTATGGTTATTTTTTTTGGGAAATTGAATATTCATATATATAATTAAAAGAAAGCGTAAACTAAAAAAGATATTACATATGTAGTTGATTGAAGATCCAATGGGTTAGATTTTGATGGGAGATTGATTTCTATCGTTTTCCATTTGACTATGAAGAATAAATAGACATTTAATGTTAATAGTCATTCTACGCAATTGAATGATAATGAAGACTTTGAGAAAATTTCTAGTACAATTAGAGTACGTGTAATATATTATTTGATTTCTTAGACTCCATATATTATTAGACGAGACTGTTGTAGTACTATAAATTTTTCTAAATATGTCAATTCAGTTCAACCAATATTTTCTATTTGTGATTGTCTAGCTACTTGGCTACCCTATAATCAACCGTTCCAATAATTATTCATATGTATTCAATTCAAAATAGATTCTTTGAATTCAATTTTAATAAAAGCACCTTTAGAAATCTCGTCCAAATTTTTTAAGCCACAATTTTATTATTTATTTTATAAAATTATTCTTGTTTGCTACCCCTTTCTGTTGGACTAGTTTTCACTCCTTAAGAAAAACAAATTTTAAAATCTAAAAATAAAATTTGAAAATTAACTCGATTCTGAAGATGTTTCACGAACTGTTATATAAAATAAAAAAAAAATAAGCAAACTAAAAATAAAATTATCACTAGAGAAAGTCTAGAAGATTATATATATCATCTAAAGAAATTATAGACAATTTTTTTAGTTGACGTTTTACGTATCTTATCAGCATTTTTTCGATGTATGACAAAGTTCAACTCAATTTTCACGTCGATGTTAAATCATTTGATTTATAAAAATATCGGCAAATAATATTAAAATAAAAATGAAAATTTCAGTGGAGGCATGGGTGGATAGTTGTTTGAATATGGTTGGATTTGAAGGGTGCAGTAATTAAAGAATGGGACAATGGAGACCACAGCTGTCTTTTTTGTGTTTCAATAAGACAAGCAAGCCTTGTGGAAGTTTTCTCACTTATTCATTTCTATTTAAAAAACTGTCTATATGATTTTCCCTATTTGCCCTTCCATTTCTTTTGATCTCGACCTCTTTTCCGACCCCAATCGTTTCTCTCGTGTTTGTAGGTTTGTTTATCTCAAACTATGAATTTGTTGATCTCTAGAATTCACTTCTCAAACTATGTACTAGTTCTCACGAATTTCATATTGAGTTTTAGGAATTAGAGGAGAGAGGGAGAAAAAGGTAAATCAACGATAGTCGTATATTTATTTGTCCAAAAAAAAGGAATATATAGAGGATGAAAACGAAGTTGGGCTTTAACATCATCAATTTGACGAACTTTCGGCCCATTGGACTTGAAGCCCAGCCCACAATCATGGTCCTTTGTTTATTTTTTCTTTACTTTTAAGAAACGCCAAAGAAAAAAGAGGGTCCTAATTAAGCACAATATTCAAAAAGAAAAAAGAAAATTAGAGTTCTAATTATCTTTTCAAACGAGATTCTTATATCTAATTTTTAGATAAAAATTTCTACAGGTGTACTTTAATTTTAGAAGAAATTTTGGAAATGCCTACATTCTTAGATGTGTTGGAGGAGGCGGAGCAGATTTTAAATATATGTTAAAATAATATTTTGATCCATGTACTCTCGACTTTGGTTTATTTTAGTTTTTATATTTTTAAAATATCTATTTTGATGTATGTATTTTAATTTTTGTTCATTTATTCTTTGCGCTTTTAAAACATGGTTCATGTTATATGCTTTTAAAAAATGACAATTTTGATCTATATTTACAAAATTTTAACGTAAATTTTATACATAATAATGGAAACCCTTTAATACAAATTTATGGCTATATTTTAAGAAATTTAGTACGTGACATGTCATGTTAAAATTTTGATGAAAAGAAATGAGATAAAAATTAAAACGAATGACCAAAATAGTAACTTTCAAAAGTACAGGGGACCAAAACGAACATTTTAAAATTATAGAAATTTAAATGAATAAAAGATGAAAATACATGGATCAAAATGAATGTTTCGAAAGTACATAAATTAAAATAAACTAAAGTCAAAAGTACGAGATTAAAAAATAGTATTTAAACCTTAATTTTATCTAGTTCTACATCAATATGAGACATTCTAAAATAGAGTTGAAACTCAATAATATTATTGTAAAAATATAGGTATCGAAGATCCATTGTCCCTAACATAATAACCGAGATGAATGCATAACATATACATTGATTTTCTAGTTGTTGTGTGGTTTAGTTAAGCCATTACATAAAATGATCTAACCATTCCACCATCTCTTTGATCTAACCACTCCACCATCTCTCTCTAGAAAATTCAATGTTCTTGAAGTAGCTTGAAAGGAAACTCAAAAGGGAAAACCCAAAAAGAAAAGCTGATAAAATTAAAGGTGAATCATCGAAACCTTTCTTTTTCTAAACAAAAATTCTTTGTTTCTTGTGCATGGCACGGCATGGCATGTATTTCAACTTTTACCTATCATGCATGCTTTCAAACCAAGCAATTTGACTAATATCTATGTGTAAGAACAAAAAAAAAAAAAAAAACCAATTAATTTCCTAACAACTTTATATTAAAGGGTACTATTATAAGCAAGTTGGGAACTATATACAATTTAGAAACATCTTGAGAATCTAAGTCAGAGATATTAACATATATTTTTATCATTTTGACTATATATTATACCATATTATTACTATATTATAACGTGAAGTTCACGTACTTAGACGAATTTCAAATTCTTTTGATATTTATTGTATTGAATATATTAATATAATTAATAACACACAAGTAATTTAAGTGGGAGGTTCTACCTATTTTCTTGATTAATTTATTTCATCTCATTTTTAAGGTTAGGGGTAAAATGAATTATTTTTCTTCGAAATTAAGTAAATTCTACCTAAAAATTTAAATGGTTCCACTCTACAACTATTGCAAGATATTATATGAAGACTTGAAAATCTTAAATAGAAACATTAACTATATTTCGTTGGTTAAACTATCACAATAGATTATTTGTCTTTTTTTTCTAACCTAATAACGAAGAAAAGTAATGGTTCTTGACCAAATCCTAGTTGGTGGTTAATTAGGTTTTCATTAACATAATAACAACTTTGATCAGGAGAGATTTGGTTGTAAAAACTGATAATTTATATATTTTATAAAAAATATTTAGGTGTTTATTGGTCTATCATCCATCTCTTTTGTTGACCAACATTATAATTTTGACGAGTAGGAGAGAAAAATGCAAAAAAAAAAAGATAATTTTTTTTTTCAAAAATCTGAGGCGTATATTTGATTGGTGATACGAAGGAAGAAGGGATTTAATGAAAACATAATTATATATATTCCTTTTTTTTCGTATTTTCAAGTATATCTTTGATAATAAATTTGGAAATTGAATCTCAATTTAAAATTTTATTGTTTAGAACTATATTTGTAGTTATCAACTAAATATTTATAATTTATTGCCAAAAGAACAACGCATAAATCACTTCCGAATTGAATTTTAAATTTTAGAACTTCCAATAATTTCAAGAAATTTATTATTTTCTTCTTCTAAATTAAAATAATAACACACCGATTTTATTTTATTTTATTTATAAACAATATAACAGACCGGTTGCAACAAGCACAGAATAAAAAAATGGAAAGAAAAATATATATCTTAGATGTCTTGTTATATAGTACCAATTCAAAATTATTTATAGGCACTTAATCATGACAAATTATACCAGTCCTGAAAATTTATATAATTATATCTTAGGATAATTTATATACCTAGGACAATAATATTGTCGCACACCAGTACAAGTGCACAAAAATTAAAATATAATATAAGAACGACCTCATGGATTTCAGTCTAGAACTTTGCATCATTTAATTATTATTTAAATTGAAATCTTAGGTTTGAGGTATCAATTGAAGAAAGGCATTTTTATGGAAGAAGCTAAAATTGGCTGGATCTTGCAAAGGACAAAGTCTCACAGGTGTAACATATTTTCTAGTGCAATTTCATTATTAACTACGTTTTTCCAAAATCTTAGAAATTAATATTGTTTATATAAATTTGTTTTTTGAATTGCCAAACATTAAAAAAATATGTAGTTTCTAAATGCGAACATAGCTCAACAGTAATTGATATATCTCAAGACAGGTTGTGAGTTTGATCTCCCACTCGTATTGTTGTACTATATATATATATATATATATATATATATATATATAGCTTGCTAAATTTGTCTTTTAGAAAAAAAAATTTAAATAGGTTTAAATACTATTTTGGTAATTTTACTTTTGACTTTGGTTCATTTTGATCATTGACCAATTTAAACGTTCATTTTGGTTCTTATAGTTTCAGCTTCTATTCATTTTAAGTACATATGCTTTCAAAATATCTATTTTAGTCCATATCATTTTAAAAGGTGATCAATTTTGGTCACTCTTTACAAAATTTTAACACAAATTTTATACATAATAGAAATTCTTGAATACAGATTTATGACTACATAGAAAGAAATGTGAGATAAAAATAAAAATTAAAGAAATCAAAATATTCTATTTGAAAAGTATAGAGGTCAAAATAAACGTTTTAAAAATTAAAAATTAAAAGTAATGTTTTCAAACTACAGAAGCGAGTAGTGAGGAAGACGCTCATAATGTATATAATGTCATTTATTAGGTTATCTTCCAATGTAATTAGAGAAATAATTTTGTATTATACGAATATTATGACATTAATTAGTTTCTTATCTTTTTTTTTTTTAAGAACCAGTTTCACCCTTACATTTTAAAAAATAATATAAATCAAGATCTCATAGAGATTTATAAATAGTTCATAATTGTAGTCTTTCTCACTTGACAAACATTCTTTTTAAAAATTAAATCCCACCTCCCTATTTTTCGTCATAAATATAAAAATACTTTCCCTTATCAATTGGAACTTCTCATCCTACATTAAATAGACTTCTGATAGTCTCACCAAACGAGAGAAAAAAAAAAAAGATATATAATAAATTTATGTTGCCCTTATCTTAAAATAATAAATCGATGAATGTTCATTATATTTTAATGTTGATATGAACATAATTCAATTGATTAAGGCATTATTAAGAACGTATGCTCGAGATTGTGAGCTCGATCCCCCACTTCATGTTGCATTAAAAAAATGGTTAATGCAACAACTTTAGTGGTTGATTCGAATTCATTTTCAATTTTTTTAAAAATAATTCCACCTCAAATTTAAATGGTAATAATTGGATTTTTTTTTTTGTTACGAACAACAAAATCAAGTTTTTTGTTTGTTGTTTTTATTTAATTATTTTTTCTAAAACAGAGATGAAAGCATGACTTATGGAAATGCATAATTTAATATCCAAATTTGAATATTTAATTTGACAAATTAAATTTCACACACACACATATGTCTTTATTTATTTTTTCAATAAAAAGAACTGTTAGAAAATATAATTATATTTTTCTAGATTGAAGAAAAAAATAAATAAAATAGTAACCTTATTTGAAAGAGTTTATTTCTCCATTAATATTTTTAGCATTAATAGAAAAAAATTATAGATTAAAAGGATAATTTGTGAGTAATATTTGCACTTGAGCTAAAGTGCAAGGGTATTATTTTTAATATATTTAAAAATTAAAATAATTGGAATGATGATCCAACCTCCAATTTCAAATATAGCAATTTATCTACTAAGTTATATTTGAATTAGTTTATAATATATCATGATAATGTGATATAAAGCTTTAGGAAAGATTACTAAGGTTATACTAAAACCAGAAAAAAAAAATTACCCATACCTTAAGCAATAAGTAATTTTATCTACAAATTGACCATAACTTAATCGAGGTATATAACCTGAACCAAAAGATCAAAAGTTCAAATCTCATTCCAATAGATTACTAATACCTTAATTAATATATATATTTTTTTAAGTACAATAACACGTGGGGAGATCTGAACTTTCAATATTTAAAAAGTGAAACGATGCATTCAATAATTGAATTATGGTTGTTTTAGTCCATATACTTTCAAATCATCTATTTCAGTCTATGTATTTTTAAAAAGTGATCATTTTGATCAAGTCATTAAAATTTTTATCTCTTTTTTCGATCATAATTTTAATATAACATTTCACTCACTAAAATTCTTGAAATGCAGTCATAAACTAATTTCAAAGGATTTCTATTATGTTAAAATTTTACAAAGAGCACACAGCTAGTGATTTTATAAAAATACCTAAACTAAAATTGACTAAAGTCAAAAGTACAGCACTTGAATAAAGGGATAGGTAGTGGGGACCACCGGAAGGCCACCGTGTGATCAACATCATGCGGTGGCGGAGTGACAGGTAACGATATTCCGTGACAATTCCGGCCAGGTTCACGTGTCAATACCATTTTTATTTAATGTCATGTGTGTTGTAATTACGACTCTACCCTACTCCTCCATTGCAACTTCCTCTGGGGCACTTCCCATTTATATAAATAAATCCTAATATTTTATTATTAAATAAAATTTAGTAAATCTAAATAGAGACCATGAAAATTTAGTGGGGAAAATTTTATATTTTGTAATTGTACTATTTATATATATCATTTTTGTGGTGTAATGTAATATTATGATTCAGATTGCATATACTTAAATCAAATTATTGATTGACTGTATATATGATGTCAATTTGGTAATTTTTGCAATTCATAATTAAAGTATGTTATTTATTTAACTCTACACTTCGATAAGGTCATTCATTGCCACTACTAAGTTCGGAAGGATAAAAACTCATTGTGAAAAAAGAAGACAAAAAGGCTGTTGTAAGAAAAAAAAGGAAAAAAACAAAATTTTGGCTCTAAGTTAAAAGAACCGTGAGCTTTCAATTAAATGTAATATCATATCACATGTTCTTTTTTTTTTTTTTTGAGTTTATGTACCATAGCATATCTGTTTAAGCGATCTGTTGAGAGGTAAAATCAGACCGAGAACTGAGAGTCACCACCAACCTCATGGTGTCGACATGCGAAACTCTGTGCCTATGACTTGGAGCCTCAAACAATGGTAGAGGATTCTTAGCTTGTCTAGCTCGAGCTAAGAATCCGACAACTTCATCGTACAATTGGAAATAATTCAATAATCTTAATAATTAACAAACTAACGATTGTGGTAACAAAAAGATAGTCCCACCTAATCTCTATGAATATGTCATCATTCCATGAAGTCAACGATTTTATCTAAAATTGACTTAGAAATTCGTGACATGAGTATGAGAGTGTTTGTTTTTTGTGTATAAATGTTCATGTTCAGTTTGAATCTTGAATTTTGCAGGTCGAACGTAAATACAATCAATTTTGATTATCACACCAGAAAAGGTAAAAGACTATATGCATGCAAAATGAAGTTAACAAGCCATAATCAATCAAACAATTATTCAATCCCAACCCAACTAAATAAAATCCACAATACAACATGAAAGTTGAGTTAATTAATAAATAATTTGTATGCATGTGGGGTCAAAATTTGACACGAAGTAGTCATTAAATTGAAATGGGGAATTTGATTTTGGGGAGAGAGAAAAAGATTTTGAGATTTAGGGTTTGGAAGGGTCCAAAAGGACCACAAACCCATGTGGTCATGTGAGTCTCTCTATGGCATAATAACAAAAAATAAAATAAAATAAAATAATGAAACCTTTTACTCAGATTCACTCAATGCATAATAAATCCAAATCCTCATCTCCAAAAACATGCATTGCTGTCTCCTCCCTAAAGAAAAAATCCCCTTCCATGTCTTCAATTTTGTGGGTCTCTCTTCTCTCAATTGTTTGATGGCAACTTTTCTTTTTTTTTTTTAATTTCTTATTCTAAAATTTCTTCTAACATAATACAAAAAATTAGTGTAAATATAGTTAATTGGCAATTAAGTAGTGGAATCAATACTCTCCTTATATTTGAGCTTCAACCCACTGGGAATGACAAAGTAAAATAATTAATTCATTTATTTATAAGGTAAGGGATTCGAATTCACAATCTCTTTGGTTGGAGATATATGCAGTTATGCTCGATTTGGCATTTGTAACGTCTTAGTTAATTGAGTTAAAATATTTTATTTCATTTCATTTTAAAATTAGATCTGTTCTAATTCTTCAACTACATTAAAAAAATTAACATTTCGGGATCTTGTTTTATATAAAGTCAAACTTCTGTATGAGCATGTTACACGGAAAAGTTAAAAAATGTATTAACCTTGAGAAGCAACCGACAAACAAACGACTTAACATTGTAGTCGTGCCGAAATTGCTTTCAAGACAATGGGTTTATCTATGTGCCGTATTCATCATAATTCCCTTTAGGTTCGAACAGAAAATTGTCCAATAATTTTCCGAAAGTTGTTCTAAGTAATGAAATATAGATAAAACCCAAATGCAATCACCCAATCAAATAGCTAAAAAAGAGCCAACCTTAATCAAAATGATCAAAACATCTATTCTTAGATTCAACAAATATCTTCAAAACATAGCAACTCAACCAACAAAGAAGAGTATTGACTTCGTCATTTGCTTTAATTTCCCACTATTTTTATGGCCACATAAGAGAATTGAAATTAGTTGAGACTCTAGAATCATCATGATTAAGTTAAAAGCTCCCATTTTCTTAGAATTAGGAGAAAGAAACAAAAAAGAGAGAGAGAAGAGAAAGTAGTACCAAAAGAAGTATGGTAAAAGTGTTTGAGGGTGGTGATACAAAAATGGTAATCTTCTTAGATACTGTAGAAAGCCATTGATGAGACAGACAACAGACTTGTGCTTGAAAATCCATGGCAGCAAAAATCAAAACCAAAGAGAAAAAAAGAAAAAAGAGAAAAAGGGACATGTAATGCAATGATTCAAAGAAGGGGTCCCAATTCCAAATACTGATTGAATTCATCACTGACCCATCTTCCATCTTCCACTCTGTAACGTATAGAAAAACAGCCATAAAGCTTCCAAAACATAATCACACTCTTATGCACATCACAACAACCAAATTGGCACCAACAAAAATATATGAAAACCCAACAAATTTTGCAAACCAACTGTCTTTATCCCCTTCCCTTTTCTCTCCCAATCCCCCCATTAAATCTTTTCCCCATTCATTCATTCATTCATCCATCCATCCGTCATCTTCTTCCTCCTCCTCTCACTCACCCCACCACACCGCACTCTGTTTTTGCATCTTTACCCATCACTTGTTTTCAAGCAAGAAGAGGAATGACTCGCCTATTTCGATCCAAATCGTGCGGCCACGTCAGAATCGCGGAATTCAAGCCGCCGCCGCCGCCGCCGAGCTCGTATTACGACAGTGACGATGAGGACGAAGGAGAAGAGGATGAGGAGGAAGAAGAGGACGATTATTATGATGGGGTTGGGGTAAATGAAAATGGGTATGGCGTGATTCTGAGAAATTCGGTCTCTGATAATGAAGACGAGAAGCGGGAGGAAGCTACTAGGCATGGTAATAATGGGAATCAGTTTCCGATTCTAGACATTCTGGTCACGGCATTGAGGAAATCGCTGATTACTTGCAGTGTGGAGACGGATGATGTTTGTTCGATGGATATTAGCTCGCCGGTGAATGTGAGGCACGTTTCTCATGTTACGTTTGATAGGTTCAATGGGTTTCTGGGTTTGCCTACTGAGTTCGAGCCTGAGCTGCCCACCAGAGTTCCCAGCGCTAGGTGAGTGATAGAACCCAACTTTTGATTTCTGAGAATGCGAGTGAATTTTGTGGAATTAGTTTCTTCTCTGCGATGAATTTTTGGTTACTGTTTCTGGGTATTGGATGGTAGTTGGATTAAAACTTTAAGTCATTCTTTTGGCTGCTTGAATTGGCCAAATTGAAGGCAAAAAACGAACCAGTTTGCAGTTTGGTGCCTTGGTGATTCTTTTTTCTTTCTGGTGAAATCATTAGGGAGATGGAGTTTTACTTCTGTTTTGGTTTCGTTTTGTAGCTTTTCACTTCTTCCATCTGTCATCTCTCTCCCTTTCTCTCTTGGGTTTCTTGGAATTCGTGTGATCTCAAAGCTAGATCAAGATGTGAAGTTGCAGCTTTTGAGGTGCCATGGCAGGTAGATGTTTGGAAGGCATTCCAAGGACGGTTACTTTAGAGTGCCTTTCGCCCAACGAAAGAATCTGCTTTACAAAATCTTTTCAAGTTTCAGCACAAAAACCAGGACAAGAAAATGTCCCTTTGTTGTATTTCTCTCTCTAAAGTTTTATCATACACAACATCCAGAGAATCCTTGGCTTTCTGAGCTTCATGTTACAGAAGAGGGGAGAAATGTTAAAATTCTTTGGATTATGAGACCTTAAAGGCAATGTTTTCAGCAGTGCAGGACTGGAAACAGAAGACTGGTAGAGAGATATGGTTATGTTATAATTCCTCCTCCATCATTGATAAGGAGTATTGATAAGGAGTTTTGTGTGAGAGCGAGAGCGAGAGCAATTTATGAAGGATGGCTGTCACTAGACATGCTTATTGTTGGATGTCGTTGTCAGTCATTTTGCATAAGATTGTGTTGAACTTAATAGGTTTACATGTCGATGAGTATTTTCCATTCGACTAAGAATCCAACTTAGTTCGTTTGCTGGCATTCTTCGTTCATTTTCCTGAATTTATGCGTTCAATATTATCATGTTAATACAACTTGATGCAAATATTATCATATGATTTGAAACACTTCCTGAGGTTGGTCATTGAGTAGGCAAACCTGTTTGAACTTTTGACATTTCTAATGCAGTTTGAACCGTTTTGCTTCCCCTCTATGCTAACTAACTGTCTATGTCGCTCAATCGCTTTGTTGTTGTCCAGTGCTAGCGTTTTCGGAGTTTCTGCCAAGTCAATGCAGTGTTCTTTTGATGACAGAGGAAATAGTGTCCCAACAATTCTTCTTATGATGCAAAAGCGGTTGTACTCAGAGGGAGGTCTAAAAGTATGTATACAGTACTTTTTACTCTAATCTAGATTGCTGGGACATGTACATTCCTCTTGCTAACTTCACTATTCAAAAGTTTAATTATAATTCTTTCTTGTTACTATTGAAGGCAGAAGGAATATTTCGAATAAATGCTGAAAATAGTCAAGAAGAGTTTGTCCGAAACCAACTAAACCGAGGCGTAGTGCCACAAGGCATTGATGTTCACTGTTTAGCAGGCTTGATAAAGGTAATCTCATACAAAATTAACCAACTGATATAATCAACTTTCTTGTTTCAATCATGAAATGGAAAAACCGTTCAGACGCAGTCATCAGAACTTCCATGTTTTTGTTCGAGCTGTTTAGCTTTTAGAAGATTGTTCTCTAAGGTTTACTGTCAAAAAGTTGGATCTGCAAAGATAATCAATATTCGATACTCTTGGCTTCTTGGTTTTATCATTTTTTATATGATCTTTTTATGAGAGCTGGCTTTCATCTCTTCTACAGGCATGGCTTAGAGAACTTCCTACAGGAGTGCTCGACACGCTATCCCCAGAACAAGTGATGCATTGCAACACAGAGGAAGACTGCACTCAACTGGTCAAGTTACTCCCTCCCATGGAAGCTGCTATCCTTGACTGGGCTATCAATTTGATGGCGGATGTCGTGCAACATGAGACGTACAACAAGATGAATGCACGTAACATTGCAATGGTTTTCGCACCAAACATGACTCAGGTGGGTGTAATCACCATTGTTATTTTAATGACTGCAAGAAATCTATCCTTCAAATACATGATGATTTCTTTCTATTAGATTAGCAATATCACTAAATCCAGGCACTGTTATGAACTAAAGGCAGTTCTCCTAATTTGGTGCAGATGGCTGATCCTTTGACTGCACTAATTCATGCTGTACAAGTAATGAACTTGCTTAAGACCCTTATTCTTAAGATCCTTCAAGAAAGGGAAGAATCAGAGGCTAGGCAGCAGTCCTCTTGCGTGGATCCTCCCAGCCATAAGAACAATACCACATCTTCAAATTCAACCAGTGGTGAACCCACAAAGCTACATTCGAATGCTATCACTGGAACAGAATCTGCAAGCAACGACATGAGATGCACCAGTTTGGATGCAACTGACCACAACTCCGGACAAAACTTTGAAAGCTTTGAAGAGAAAGATGAAGAAGAAGAGCAATACCATTCAGCTTCTGGAAGAAGTACTCCAATCAGATACGGAATCGAGACGTTACAAAGTGGATGTAGAGAAGGATATGAAACAAGTGACTGGCTAAGTTTGAGAAAAGGGGTGAGGAAGCTATGCAGGCACCCTGTATTTCAGCTGAGTAAGCCAACTAAAAAGAATAGAAGTTTTGGAGTTGTAACTTGTAAGTATTAGGAAACAAGGGGGAAACCTTGCATAGAACATCTGCCGACTGCTAAGGAAGGAAGTTGTGTCCTGTCCACCTATTCCTTAGACTTTCTGCTTGGGTTTGTGTAAACAGTTCTGGTAAAACAGATGCGAGTGTGTGATTATTAACTGGTTGGAATTGGATAAATCTCAAATGTTCCTGAACAACCGAGTGCTTTAGATCTCTAGAGTAAGAAGAAAACTGGAAACTGCATTTATGGAGTCGTCTTTCTTCCCTTATGAAATTAAGATCACTGAGATTGATTCCCGAGGTAATGAAAGAGTATCCATTTCTTTTATTAATTGAACCATTAAATGTTCCAAGTTGCACATATAATAACAGGGACTTCCAGTGTTCAGAGTCATAATTTTGGTCATCATGTCATCATTGGCGCACTTCAGAAAAATGCTGAAATCAGATTACAGTATCAAGTAACAGCATGCTCATACAGCTATTGAGATTAAATTTCGCTTCAAATTTACCTGTCTATTTTTAAGATCATTGTTTTAATTTGGTATGGCTGCATTTTCAGATAAGTATAAGCAACTGGTCTAGATAAGATTCAACACTGAAGAAAATAGAAATAAAGAAATAACCATACCTTATGGAAGAACAACATTGTCGGACAACTTTCCTTTGCATTCAAAAGTTTGGGGTCAGTTAAAGAACCGACTGCTAGAAAACCTCAGTAGAATCATATTCTAACCAACCCTACAGATTTTTTCGCAGGTTGTTAACAAAATGAGAGAGAAATGGGAGAACCTGCCTCGACTGGCCCACCATTACCTCTTCGAACTACGTCTGCCATCTATTGCCAAGTGTGGAATTAACTGCATATCATGACTCTTACAGCACAACTTACCTAGATAAACTAAAACAATTGACAACTTCGGGTTCTTTGCTCAATCTATTAATATCACCAGAGCATGGAAGTTCTACCGTACGACGCACCTACTATTAACAGCCACACGTGCATGTGGAAACAGCGGTAAGGCTCTGTTACTTCGTCTCATCTCCATCACCACCACCGCCACCACGCCCAGCACCTGAGCTCCCCTGACCATCAGCACCTCCCACATCAGCAGAGTCCTGCTTGCCACTTCCACGGGCATCGGTTTGCCCTGTACTTCTAGCAGGGCCTCCAGCACCAGCACCCCCAAGGGCACCCTCAGTATAATGTGGGTGTTGCATGCCATTGTTGGCCCCCCCAATGGATCTTAGTCCCATTTGGCCTTGCATTGCTTGCTGGTGTTGCTGGTGTAACTGCTGCTGGGGATCCTGTAACTGATGGGGGTTGCCGAACTGCAACGGGACTTTCGGAGGGAAAAGTCCCGATTGCTGTGCCATGATAGCTGCCTGAGGGTGCTGCATATAAAAACCCCCTTGCTGCATAGCAGGAAGTGGGGCCATCTGACCATTATAACACAGGTGAGTAAGATGTATAAAACACCATCAAATTAGTGAAAACAGAGGCCAACTTAATTACCAACCTGTGGAGGCATAGCTGGTGCCTGCGGCTGGGCATCAGCAATTGCAGCTAAATACATCAAATTCTTCTGAAGTTGAGCTTGATACCTAATCACAAGTATAGTATTAACTCGAGTGCAAGCTTATGCACACTACAAGTACCGAGGGAATTGAACTCGAGCAAAATGCATACTATAATTGGGAAAATTGAGAGCCATGTATGAAAAATGGATTTTAAAAACCCAACACTTCAACAGTCCATGTAACACACAAGCACATGACTGCTGCACGAAAAAGGATGCTCAAAAACGAAATAATATATATATATATATGCACAAAATACTACCTCGGTATAAATTCTGAGTATCTAGTTGATCCCATTCTAGATAAGAAATGCATACTCGATCTAGACCCCTAACTACGAAATTCAGGCATTAGAAGCAAGATCTATAATGATTTTTTTTTTTTTCTTTGGTAAGAAACATCAGGGTATGTTAACAAAAAGGCAAGCACAACAGCCTAGTGGCCGAGGGTAGTACCCTCGCCCAAAAGGAGAGTTTGCACCCATAGATGCTTCCAGCTCCTGAACTCCAAGCTACAACATCCTTACTTTCACATAACATCCATGGTAAATCATTGCTTTTACGTGACATGAACCTCTCAGAACTGTACTGGATCTCACTAAAAAGATACCATACTATCGTGTGTCAAGTTTCTAGGACCACCGGCAATTACATAAAAGAAATGCAACAACTTCAAAGAGTCCATAACAAACACCATACACAGTAATGTTCACCAAGGGGGGGTAACTTACTGAGCACATTCAGCTAGTTTCCCCAGATTTTGGTTGTCCAGTATAGCCAATATCAACTTTTTGTTCTCATCAAGATACTGCATGCAGTAGAAAGTATTCATTGTTGATAACTGTAACTCAAACTCAAGCATCTTAATAAGGATCTGACATGGATCACTTAACTAAATTCATATTATTTTATTTCGATTAACACCCTAACTTTAAAATATCCAACGATGAAAAGAAAGAAAAACCAGTGTTCAGACCTTATACAGTAAGAAAATGTGAAGAAAAGCTCTGAATCCACTAATAAAATTATAAAAGACGAGAAAAATCTCCAAAATTATAATCGGCCACTGCAACTTCGACCTCCAATATTAAATTCTCAACTAGCAGTCTAGCAGACTAGCACTGTGACAAAACTCAATCCCCGACCCATATGTCCAACAGAAAATTACCCTGTCGTTCTCAATTCTTAATTAAAGACATGAATTCATAATATGCCATTTCAAGTTAGCAAGAACAATAACCTCTTGTCCTTTCTAACAAGAGAAGGATAGTGATAGAAGCTTTATAGAAAAGCATTATAAGTGAACCCACATATGCTTCCTCCCTGTTTTCCTCTAACGAAAAAATTCACTGGTAAAACTAGTGAAAGCAGGGATAAACCATGCGATTCAGGTAGCCTATGAAAAGGGGTACAAAATAATTACATGGTGATCTCGAGCTACTATATCCATGGCTAAAATAATAACCCCACCCCCAATCAAGGTGCCTACTTAACTTGGTTCCTTCCATCAGCAAATATCTAGTCATCAAAGGACCCATTCATATCGAAACTATTAACTTATCAAAAACAAAGGCACTTTTGCAGTAGACCACATCCACGGGCAATAACAAAGCTCCATCAAATCAAACCCACCACCCGAATGGGTGAAGTCACTGCCATAAGTGGGTAAAATAGACGTTTAAGAAAGAAGTAAAGAAGAGAGAGAAGAGCATGCCTTTTGAATCTGCTCGGTGGTGATATTCGTGGGGGGAAATGAAGGCATCATGGGCATCATTTGCGGTGGTTGCTGCATCTTCAGCTTTCCTGGATATAAACCCTAGCCCTAACACTCGGAAAAGAAATTTCCCAAGTCAACAGGGGGTGAGGAAAGAAGGGGAAAAAATGGATACCCAGAAGAGGCAGAGGGAGAAAGAACCTGTCAATCGCAGAAATAGAAGTTCTGTGAGAGCGGATTTGAGGGAAAATCTCTGGTATGTCGCTCGCTGAGGTTTAAAGACAAAGAAAGGAAGGAAGGAAGAAAAATCCCACAAAAACAAATGGGGAAAAAGTCAGGACAGGACAAGAAGATTAAATAATAAATTTAACAGATTTTTTTTTTTTTTTTTAAGATTTGTTTTCCATTTGGAGTTTCTTGTTTCACCAAACTCGACATTTGATATGGTCGCACTGTTCAAACCTTCACTTGGGCCTGACCCAATTTCCCTTCCCCTTCTTTTTGTTCTTAAATTTATTGGATGTTCTTGGTGGTTTTTTTTTTCTTTTTAAAATTTCTTTTTAATACATCGAAGATAAAAAGTATTCAGACTTTTAACCTTTCGGTCAAAGACACAGGTGTCAATTACTACTGAATTAAACTCATGTTGGCTCTTGATCCTTCTATTTATATAATTTTTTATGGGTTTCAAATGAGTTTTGACTCGATTTCCCTCGATTGAATTTTTAATATCTTGTAATTTAATTCAAATACAGTGTCAAATTATAATGGATCTAAATGACATATAATTTTGTCATTATTTTTTTTTTGAGAAATATAATTTTGTCATTATTATTACACCACTAACCGACATAACTTTACACGTTCTCGAAGGCTGCATTCATGACAATCATCACTAGTTTCTCCCTCATTTCTTCTTTTTTCTCTTGAAAGAGGATAAAAGCGCTATTCATTGAGTAAAGGGAGGGTTTGCTACAGTGATTCGGGCAGTTGGTGGCCTCTTCCTCTTCGAGAGTTGCGGGTCTTTGCCGCTGCATGAGTGGTAGCTCACGCTCACTTTGATTAGTTGCCTTCTTTCTGAGCCTATGGGAGAAGGCATGTTTGCACGCTTTCATATAGAGAGGTCGATAATAGACTTTAAGTGTCAAAACGAGTATAGCTCGACAATTGATGTATATCTCAAACTTCGACGTAATTTTAAGTAAGCATAGTTTAGTATTTGACATTCAAATCTCCGTGCACCACATTTGTAGTATTTAAAAATTTGACTAATTTAACCTAACTTTAATTTTACAAAACGAAGAAAAATCAAGTCAAAGTGTTATGCAAAATGATTTAGCTAATTTCCCCAATTTGAACTTCGTTAGCTTCTTCAAGTTCGTGTTGAGGGATGGCTTCAATTACTTGCCGCGGGCAGGGACTCTGCAAATCTCGTCGCTACTCGATTTCTTCTCTAATTCCTTCGAAGAAAGTTGTATGCTGATCAAGCGACGAAGTTAAACCTGGCGTCCGATATCTGGAAGCGACTTTTCGCGCCAAGAAGCAGAAGATCTGCTCCGATTACCCCGATTTTCCGGCTTGGTCGGCAACTCAATCAAAGAATGGAAGTTCTCAACCCCTTCAAGCTGTGTACGGGCCTCAAGTTCCTCGGCTACTTCATGGTTGTCTTGGTTTTCGCCATCGTAGCAGTGTCCTACTATGCTGTTGTAGTGCTCACTTGGGGCCCCAAATTACTCATGGGAGGCCTCAATTCTTTCCTAGCGTTCTCCATCATCATTTTATTTCATGTTCTGGTACTGATTCTTTACATTTTGATGTTTTTGGTTGTTGAACTGAATTTCGGATTTCATTTGGAGTAATTGTTCCTAGCCACCTAAGAATTGAACTCTACACGCTTGTTAAATTTAGTCGTGCATCAATTAGATATGCGGTTCTAGCATCAATTATGATACTCCGCGGTAGATGCCTCTACAAATGGGATCGGAGAAATGCATTTTTTAGTTAGATGCATACAATGGCGCTTATTCTGATCTGGGGGGGGGAAGTAACGAGTTATGAACTAGCGAACTTTGACACCGAGACAAATTATGTGAAGACTGCCATCTTGTTTTGCAGCTTTTACTCTTGTCATGGAGCTACTTTATGGTGCTCCTTGAAGATCCCGGTCCGGTACCAGAAAATTGGATATTGACTAGTGAAGCAGAGAATATGGAGGCTGGTAGTTCGTCATTGCCGGAACATGATCCAACCGAGGCTTCCACTTATTCAACTTTAGATGGTGCGGGGAGAAGACATACAGCCTATTGTCGTCAATGCCAAAATGGAAAGCCACCACGCTGTCATCATTGCTCCGTTTGTAAGCTACTTAGCTTCAATACCATTCCTGCTTCTCTTTATTTTTTCACACAATCCCATGGCAATGATTTTGTTCCTAATGAGTTATCGGTCTTCTGATTTGTACTACTCTTTCCTATTCATTAATCTCGCTTTGTTTCTGAATGTCATTCCACTCTTAATATTATTTTTACAGTTATTAACATCTTCTTATTTGAAATTATTAAGGATTATTTAAATCTTTCCATAATGATCTGTAGGTCAAAGATGTGTTCTTAAGATGGATCATCATTGTATTTGGGTAGTGAATTGTGTTGGAGCGTGCAACTACAAGTTCTTTCTTCTTTTCTTGGTAAAATCTCAACCCACCTCCTGGCTGCCAGCGAGTTTTCTGCCTTAGTACGTGAGAAATGTTGTAGGAATTTTTCTTTCCTTTTCTGTAGGATGGAAAATCCACGGAAATTTGGAAGTATAGTTTCTGGCTTCCATTCATTCTACTGAATTTAGCATGATAGGGGCGCAGTGGTGTTGGAACAAGCACAGGATATGGCATGGTGTTGCTGGTGAAATTACTTTGTCTCCAATTTGTGATTTTGTTTCAAGAAGTTCACAGTAACCGAAGTTCAAAATCATTTTGTCCTATTATATAAAGTTCAACATATTTGTTTTGTATCTATAATATAAGACTTGACTTTTGGATGGATGAGAAAGCATGTCGAAAATTATATGTATATATGTGTATATATTTATCATTTATTTATAGCTATGTGAAATCTCTCTTCTAACCTACTTCCCCCTGTTTCACCCCCAAGCTTTACACATTCTTGGAGACAACAATGGATACGCTTGTTTTGCTGCCTAGTTTTATCAAATTTTTTGATCAAGCTAAGAGTCACTCCAGTTCTCCTGCCAATCTTGTGATCATTTTTTTAGCTTTTGGTAAGAAGTTCAACTGGTTTGTAGTTTACGTTTATATAAAATTGAACTTACCCTTTGATTTTCCAATATTTTTATGTGTTTGTACCTTGATGCAGTTCTTAATTTAGCCTTCGCACTCAGTCTTCTTTGTTTCGTAGTTATGCATGCAACTCTCCTGTTGAGCAACACAACATCAATTGAGGTAATGAACTTGAGTCTGCACTTGCTTTATATTTCTCTTTAAGTTTGCTTCAGATTGGATTATCAATTTCCTTTCCTCCAGCTGGTTACTGTCGCCTTAATCTCACTTATTTTCCCCATCGTGCACTGTGTATTGGTCTTTTCCCACAAGTGCAAGATATATGTCACATCACCTGGTGGAACTAGAATTGCTGGATTATTGGTCACGAATAAGATAAAAATCATTCTTCTAATACACTTTTTCAAATGTGCAATTCGAACCTTTGTGGCCTCAAATTTAAGTAACCATTACACTAATTGAGTCATTAATTACTGAGAGACCTGACTGCCTTATCAAGCTCTGCAGATGCCAGTCTTTCCTTTTTACTAGCAAAGGTTCCCATTTCACCATTACATTTTCAGGTTCACGAGAAGAGAAGAGCAGTTCAATGGAAGTATGACCTAGGCAAGAAGAAAAATTTTGAGCAGGTAATACACCTTTGTATATGCCATCTTGAATCTCTCTCTCATTAGTAGATGATAATTGTCATATCTTTAAGAATCTAATGTTTTTGTCGTGAAAATATTTTATTTGTATTTGTCTGGTACAGTTTTATATTATCTGCTGAAAACATAGGTTTGCACTCTTAGTTGAATCAGGATGCAGTAGTTTGTGGTGGGAAGAGAATACAGCATGTTATTGGATATTGAGAATTCCTAATGTAAAATGTAACTAGTTTTGTCCTATTAGTAGGGAGAAAAGAAAAAAAAAAGACAACAAAGTGTCATTCTGGTATTATATCTGATATCAATGTCTCTGATTCTCTGAATGCATTTGTTACATCTTCCTCTTGGAAATTGATCTTCCAATGTTTGGTATAATGACAGAAGTTTAGTCTCGTGTTTAGATCTTATAATGATGTCGTGTCTCATGTTCTTCCCCCATTAAGGTATTTGGGACAAAGGCGGCACTGTGGCTTTTTCCATTGTTCTCAAAGGAGGATTTAGAAAAAATTCCTGCGCTTCGAGGCCTGGAATTCCCAACTCGTTCTGATGTGGAGGCTTGACACTTTTTCCCGGTACTCCAGTCAGTGTAATATATTGTATTCATTTGTTTATTTTCTTATGTAACCAATCGCGCATGAAACCTTGTTGTATGGTCCTTCTGTGGGTGTTTCTATTTATAAATTTGAAATTTTTTTAGAATGAAATGTAGAAAACAGCTCGTAGTTCCCAGAAGTTAAGCTGTACTCATTTTTAGGTTGTTTTGCACCGAGTAGAACTGTTCATTTTTCGCCTATAGGAGCCTTTAATATTCTCATGAAGTCTCTCTTTTTTCTTTTTTCTCTTTTCTAGTAATTCTGCAGAAACATGAAAAGCGCATTGCATGAACTGATATTCATGTTTTGGGAAGTCAAATTTATTTTATGAACCAATTATGATTTTACACTGAACAAGAAAAATTGTATACCAGTGATGGCAATAGCTTATTTACATATAGAAGTAGAATTGCTCGTTATATAGTTTTGTAACATGTAAATCTGGGTCAAATGACAAATCTAGGGTGGGTGGGTCCCCTTGAAACCTAATAGAACTGGCCTTAGAGCAGACAGGTCTGCCTAGAAATAGATGGAGGTGGAGCCCCAATATCCCCATTAACCCCAAAAAACAAACAAAACAAAAAAAGAGTAAATCTTGGTCATCATCTAATTTCAGGTGATTGACCATGATCCAAGGATGAAACCAAGGAGGAACTTCTGTCCATGGAACTGCAGAAACCAGAGATGAAAAGAGAGATCAAAATGAAGATGGGGGCGATCATCAGAACAAGGCTGACAGGTACCATCCACTGTTGGTTCTGTGATCCATGGAACCGAACCGCCCACCAAACCATCAAAAACCCCCCCGAGACACTTGCCAAAACTAAAACCAGACATGCCCACACCGCCTTGGGCTCTGTGTTCTTCTTCCTCTTCCTCTCTCCTTCTTCCTTAGGTTCAGTTTCTGCTCCCGCCTGCATTTCTCTTGTGTGGGACAAAGAAAAGGAAGAAGAAAACTCACAAATGATCCATTGGAAGAAGAAGACGGATTACGAGAGAAACCCCAATAATCTTAGCTAGCTTTAATGGAAAAGGCCTGTGCAGTGCTGTGCTGTGCTTGAGGATGTTAGAAAGAGAGAGAAAGTGAGAGAGATTTGCAAGTAAAATAAGAAAGTCGCATTGAGTAGAACGTCACGCGTGGCTGATCAAAGTTGGTTTTGTCGATTAAAGGAATATAAATATAAGTGTAGGATCGGCATTAATTGGCAGCGATCAGTAATTGGCGTAGCTTGTATCTGGGGTAGAGTTTCATTGATTTATTGCCTTTGTCGTGCCATGCCACCCACCGGCTACACCTCTCTGTTTCTTCATTTCATTAACTCTTTCATTGTTTTTTCTTCTCATGCAGCTCAATTTCAGCTTCTGTTCATAGGTTTACTGTTCTCCATCCATAAGCAAGTAGCAAGGTTTTTTGTTTTTTTTAAGCTGATGTGGGGTATGGGGATTTGAGCCTTTGAATAAAAGCCAATTACTGAAGCTATATTCATGTTGACCTGATTTGAACCTTTGATCTTTAGGATAAATGTATAATATCTTAATAATTGAGTTATGTTCAGGTTGGTGAGATAATTAAGGTTATCAGGCAACTTTTTGGTTTTTTTTTTCTCTATATATTCAGTTACACTGTGTTCATTTTAAAATTTTGTATTAAATTGTGGGTGATGGATGAGATTTTCTTTCTATTTTGGAAGGTGGGATTGTTTTTTTAAGGTTAAATTTTAAGTTTTGTCAAGTTTGTTTATAATAGGTCTTTCAACTTTAAAAGTATCTAATTAAGTTCTTGACTCTCAATTTTATGTTTTATAGATCCTTAATCCATTCACATATTTTAAATTAACGAATCTATTAGACACAAAATTGAAAATTTATAGATTATTAAATATTTTTTAAAATTTATAGACTAAACTTGTAATTCAACCTGGTTTTTATTTTCACTTATGTTAGTCAACTCTGTCAGATGCATCTTCATCATAAACGCGTTTCATTCCAACTCAGAAAACCATGGTTTCTTAAATAAGTTAAAAAAAATCGGTTTGTTTTTACTAATTTTTAGAAGAAAAAAACTGCCCTACTTTCCAGCAAAATCCCCCTTTGAAACACCCAATTAAACTCAAGCAAACAAAAACCTTAACCACATGAAGACAAGACCGTCTCTTTTTGCAGGCGTGGGATAAAACTTATGACAACTCCTTTATTATACAAATAAAATACAAACAATGGTTATTCAAATAATATTGTGAATACCACAACTGGGTTAGGGTTGGTCATGTTATATATATATAATATTACTACTTGAATCAAATTTCAGCAAAAAATTTTGGCCTTTTTTCTAGATTCTAGTCCATATGCAATCATGCTTTGTCATTCCTAACAGCCAAGGATCGTTATTTATTTATTTATTTCATATTTAATTTTCGTCTTCTAAAAGTTGAAAGATTTCAAATTTTCGAACAAGAACGATATATTTTTTATTAGTTTGGGATCATTTAAGTAGATGCAAAAGCAAATACATGTAAGTTTTAAGCACAAATTAAGAAGATAAGATTCTATCATTATAGAGATATGAATAGGTGTCGTTGAACACTAAGCTTACCATCAAGGTCAGATTTAGAGTTTCCATTGTTGATCATCATCATCATCTAATTTCAAAATTTTGAAGTTTCAACAGGCTGATGGCTGACATGGTGTGATGGTGGAGCTGCCCAAAGTAGCAGAAGCAGTGCTGTGATCCATGGAAGCAGTGCAGAAACTAGAGATGAAAACAGACATCATTACAAAGATGGGAGCAATCATCAAAACAAGACTAAAAGGTACCATCCACAGTTGCCTGTTTTCTCCATGAAACTGAATCTCCCACCACCCAAAAACAAGCCCTCCCACCATGCTTGCCACCGCCATTGAAACCCAACATCCCACCTGCTTGTAACAACTCTTCTTCTTCATCTTCCCAGCTTCTCTCTCATCTTCTTCCTTCGTTCCTGACTCCATTTCCGAACCCACCTCCTGCTTCTGCAAGAACTGGATATGGCTGAAGCAACCAAAAAAAAAAAAAGGAAAAAACAGAGAGAGATTACTGCAGAGGGATTAGGAATTGGCAAGTTTTGTAGGCCTGAGAGAAAGCGTGGGATTTTATCAAGGTTTGAAATTAGCAATCAGAAATTTGACGTAGCTATCTGGGGTTAGATTTTCATTGCCTTTTATGATATAATATATATGCCACGCCCACCAATGCGCTAAGCCCTTCGATTTGTAAACAACTCTCTCCTCAAATTTGAGATCATCTTGGACTCAAAGTGTAGGTTAATACTTGATGTATTATAAGCTTTGTTGGGGTAAAACCAAACACGTGGCTCTCTCCCATTGTGACACGTGTGTTGCTTGGGCCTTAGCTTGATTGCAACTTGGGTAAGTTTGCATAAAGTCAATTGCTATGTTAACAATAGATCCACTAAATGACAGATACAGGAACGACGACTGCAGTTATATTATCAAGTTTTCTAATAGTCCCCTATAAAAGACAGAGTCCTACCTTTTTAAAGGTATGCAATCTCTTTACATTCAACTTAATCTTAGCTCGACGTCAGTTTAGACTAAGTTCTAAGCTTCAGAGTATATGGTTGAGCACCACATCGGTGCAAGTTTCTATCCATAGCAAGTTTCTATTCATAGGTTGCCAGTCATCCCATGACGTGTCACCCTGTCGGAATCCTACGTCTACAAGTTTAATCCAAATATGTGAGCTGTTTTGTTAGTGGTTTTTGGTCTTTCTAATAAAGCCTACTGATTTATAATTACAAGCCTATGCAAAACTACTTCCATTTGCAATATTGGAACCATGTTTTCTGGTTTGAGATATCCAATTGAATATGTGATATGTGATGTGGGTTCAGCTTATATTTAATGGAATATTCAACTTTGGCTGTAAACTACAGAAAGGACCCAACTGCATATAGCCACTCCACTGAACGTTTCTTCCGAAATATCATAAACAAACAAAAAAGTCAACTTCTTCTTCTTTTTAGAGAAACAAACAAAGCAAACCAAAAAAAAAAAAAAATTGATTTGATTCTTCAACCATATTCTTCCTATGAGCACCAACAAGTTTTTCCGATATTGATAGATTATATATTGAAGGTAGACGTTTATATCATTAAATAGACATCTGATGGACTATATCGTTGATAAACATTTATCAATATTGTTAGAATATATCAATTATATAGTTGATAGATGTAAATGAGTGATACACGAGAGGGAAAAATAAAGGGATTAGTACATACATAGTCTATTTAGGAGACCTAATTACATAAAAGGATTGAAAGTTAAAGAATTTACATTTTTGTCTAACATAATTCCAAAATTGATGTACTCATAATAGAAATTATAATATATCCATCTCAATATTAAATTATTAATAATATATGAAATTGGTAAATACTTATTAAAATATACCAAATCCCTAAAATTAAGCTAATTCAGATTTTTAGAATCCACAATTTCGTAACCCACTGTTTTTAGAAAACAAATTTTCATAACCTTTTCATCTACATCTTCACCACTTCGACTGAAACCCAACCATCAGAAGACTTGCCCGTCATCTCCATCATTTCCGCCGGTTGCTTCAGAAGACTTCTCATCTTCAAGGTTCTCATCAACGTTATCTTCGGCGGCTTACGTCGCATTTATAGGGCAACTCGACACCGGCTACGTCTCCGTCGCATTTATAGGGCAACATCTTCCTTTTTTTTTGTCACCGGCTACGTCTCCGTCACCAGCTACGTACCCAAGCTTCTCATCTCCGACGGCCTCCGTCGCATTTATAGGTCAACATCGTTTCAATTTTGCACAGAATCGAGGTATATATTTCTTATTGTATATGCTCAATTTAGGTTTCTTTTTTTGACAGAATATGTTGCTTTGCTCTCTGTTTCCATTATCTATTCCTATATGCTATTATCCTTTATAATAGTGTATATTTGAGTATATATAATATAGTGATACCGAAGGAACAATTTCCATGGAAAATGTATTAGGATATATAATATATCTGAATTTTACATAGGAACTTCGGTATTACATTGGTATATACGAATATATACGAATATATTTTTCTATATTATTCGTTTGTTCTGAGTAACGTATGTGTGGGGATATATAGTGTTTAGATAAGGATATATATTATATATCAAGATTTATGTATCTCGATATATACGRATGGTGATTTAAAGTTAAAAATCTATTGGATATATACCGTTAAGGATTTACATCAATACAAATGGATAAATTTTATATCTCATGATGTGTAGTCTATGTTATATCGGATATATTATATATTCAATATGTTATATTTTATATCATGTCTTATAGAACTTTTTTGGCCTTGAACTAGGATTGTTTCTCTTGGCAGTGGCGTGCAAACAGCATATTGATTTTTTTTTTTGAACAAGTTCGAATGTGAGAGTAGTGCAGAAAATTTAAATTACCATTTTGAAACATTGTAGCACCGTGGACCATAGCAGAAATCGAAGGGAAACTGTTCGTAGCATCGTAGCGAAGAAGAAAAAATGGAAGAAAAAAAATGAACGAAGAAGAAAATCCCTGGGCGGTGAAGGAATAAGAAAAAAAAACGAGAAACAAAAAAATGGAATAAATCTTATTTGAGGGATTTGGAGGAGAGAATTAAGGAATTTGAATTGAGATAATATCTACGGGGCCCACATTTATTAAATGATTGTGATTTTAATTTATGGAAATAACAATTTAATATTTAAAAAATTCAAATTCATTAATAAATGAAAATGCAATAAATAGGAGTAAATACGGAATTAAATTAAAATCTTACCTGCAGAAATCTAAAAGTGTAAATTTATAGAGATTTAGACAAGTTTCTAAAACAGGCCTACCAAGATATTATCTCAAAAATAAAAGTATATAGAAATATCTAAATAGACACGTATTATACTTTTAGAAAATATAATATTTGCAAAATCATAATCTTATTACTATATTTCCAAATATGACAATCTGCCATCCATTAAAATTTTCCAAAATATCTCGCATCAATAATAGAAATGTAATATGTTTACCTTGTTTATAATATTATATATATTAAGTGTTTTTATCACTCTTAACGGTTGCGAGACTATCCATATCTTCTATTATAAGGTTTTAAATTCATTTTTGATATAAAATTTTAAGTTTATTTTATTTTGATTCGTGAACTTATAAAAAACCAATCATTTAAATCGTTAATCATTACTTTTCCATTAATTTAGTATATATAGATGGCATGATTTTATATACTATATGGACACATGGACATATATTTAAGGCATATAGTTCGCGGCTGACATAGCGTTGGGTGGAGCAAGATTGTTTTTTAAATTTAATAAAATTACACATAGGTAACGATATACTAATGAAATATTTAAAAGGGTATTATTGTATCATATCTTTATTTAATAAAACTGTCAGCATAAATGTTGAGCAATAGATTTTGACTGATCACAAATTACAACAAATTTTTTAGTACAATAATTTAGAGATATGAGAGATCGAGCCTCCAATCTCAAGAGAAGAAGTATATGTCAATTACGTTGAGTTACGTTCATGTAAGCCAAAATTTATTATAACTATAAATAAATATCATCAACTAGATGAGCTAAAAAGTCCCGAGATTGTTTCTTACAATATATAAATTAATACAAAATCAAGTTTAATATTACGAATTAAATTGTCAAAGCGAGCATAGCTCAGTAAATGACATATACCTCCAACCAAGACGTTGTAAGTTTGAATTCCCTCTCCAACATACGAATTAAATTGGACAAAGTGAGCAACTAAGAGGTTGTGAGTTCAATCTCGAAAGAACATCACAAATTAAATTTATCCAAAAATTATAATTCAACTAATTAATACATTTTTAAGGTTAAAATTCCAGCCAGTGAGAATAATGGTATTGTAAAATATAATATTTGTGATAAATAATGTATTATTAGAATTGAGCATGCGTTGAATTGAAAGCATGCATTTTTGGAATATGGTTAAATTAATATTAATACAATAGAAGAGAAGATCCATTTTTGAATGATTACAAATAAACAAATGCAACGAAAAGATGTGGAAGAGAGAAGATCGGCCACGGAACATTCTTTCGTTCCGAAACGACGGTCCCACCTTATCCAATTGGGCCTCCTTCGCGCGTCTTTTTCCCCAATTCCTCCGATTCCACCTTTTTTTTGTTTGTATTTCCTGAATCAGTTCCAAACGACCAATTTGTTTTTGGAGCATTGCCGATTTAACATCGTTAATTTAGTTTCCCAATTCTTTATATTCCTTTTCGCCGACGGGGGGTGGAGAATGAACGTGAAAACTCCGGCGACGCGGACTCGGGTTGGGAAGTACGAGCTCGGTAAAACCCTCGGCGAGGGCACTTTTGCAAAGGTCAAATTCGCGAAGAACGTTGAGACCGGTGATTATGTCGCCATCAAGATTCTCGACCGTGAAAAAGTTCTTCGCCACAAGATGGTCGAACAGGTAAAATGGTCTTTTTGTTTCGTGGGGTTGTTCTTGTTTTGTTATTCGTCGGTTGTCCGGATCCACGAGCTTGATTGTTTATTGATGATGGCGATGGCGTTGGTGTTGGCGTTGGCAGATTAAAAGAGAGATATCGACTTTGAAACTGATAAAGCATCCGAACGTTGTTAAGATTTACGAGGTACCGTGATCGATTTACCCTGATTTTGTTTCCTTGTTATGTTGGACATTGTTTGTTTTCTTGTAAAGATTACGGGTTCACGTACTTGATTTAAAAGGCTTTATTTCACTTCTAAATGAAACTAATTGGCGAGTTGGTTGCTACTAATTTGGTATGGAAGGTTGTTACGCTTGAGCGATTGTGAAATTAGTAGTATGGACTTCTTTCTCGTGAAAAGGCATTTATTGATCAATTGCGACTGCTCTGTATGTGGAGCATGAACAATTGTGGGGTGAGGGTTAAAACCATTGAGCAATGCTCATGTTGGATTAAGGTTATTGTTGATGCCTTAGCCATTAAGTTACGCTCATGTTTGTAGTTTTATGTGAAATGTGTGAGATTAGTTCAATTTCGAAGTCAATGTATGAGATTGGTAGTAGTTTAATCTTTATGATGAGAGTTTATTGCTCTACAAAGAGATTGAATTTAGGATAAAACCAATTTGAGTGGGTTCATGGAATTAACATTTAATTCGAACGTTTGGTTGTATTATGATGCAGTATTTCTGTTTACATGTCGCTTAGCTTCTCTTGTTCTAGCTTGGGTTGTTGCCATTAAATACGACTTCGATATTCTTTTTCTTTTTCTTTTTTTCTTTTTTATTTTTTTCCCTTACTTTATTTCCATAGCTGTTGTGGTTTTGTGTGACTTTTGCCCTGTTCTTTCCATATTCTTAGAGGAGCCCCTTATAGATATATACGTTTTCTTCACTAAGTATTTTTCTTAATTACTTAAGAAGTTATGTTTTAGTATTTTGTTAGACTTAAATTAGTAATGTTGTCTTTGCAAACTTCATTGATTTGAAGTTCCGAGCGTAGTAAATAGGCCATATAATTTCACAGGATTAACAGGTTTTACATGTGCGATTGAACATTGTGCTGCTTACAGATTGTTTACATTGTAAAATGGTGCATCAGAAACAAGATGCCATCATTATTATATCTCAAGATAAATAGTAGATTTCTTTTCCCCTTATTTGTCCACAGAAGAGGAAAAAAAGAAGTAAAGATTCTTGTGAAAAACTGATATGCTAGTTTATAGTTGAAAGACATACTTTTCTTAGTACATTGTTTTCAATATTATAGTCAAAAAAGTGAAAAGAAAGTAAGATACTTTTTGTATGTTTGTGTCTGAATTCTCCTGTTCTTATTGATAGGTTATGGCAAGCAAATCGAAAATCTACATTGTCCTGGAGTTTGTGGATGGAGGCGAGCTCTTTGACAAAATAGTAAGGCATCGATGATGAGATTCATATTCATATTTGTATTTCACATTGTACTTGGATGTTCTCTATTGTTTCTTACCTAAATTTATTTGTAAGAGTTTCTGTATTAGCAGCCATTATTATTGCCTGTACATTTATATATTTCTTGGATAATTTCGATTTATAGGCTGCAAAGGGAAGGCTTAAAGAGGATGAAGCTAGGAGATATTTCCAGCAACTTATTAATGCTGTAGATTACTGCCATAGTAGAGGCGTGTACCATCGAGATCTGAAGGTTTTAGATGATATTCTGATCTTTCTTGAAACCTAACTTAGTGTTTGCAATTAGATTAGTGGACCTTAGTTTACTACTCTGTCTACTTTTGCAGCCTGAAAATCTTCTTCTGGACTCACACGATGTTCTTAAAGTATCAGATTTTGGATTGAGTGCATTTCCGCAGCAAGTACGAGTGAGTATTACTCATATTTTGCCAGACATTCTATCAAGATTGCTTTGGACAAGTGTTTTCTTTCTTCAGCGCTGTTGTTTCCCAGTTGCTTATGTCTCTTTCTTCATTTTCACTTTAGTTTCTTATCTTGTGGGTGAAATTTTTTTGAAAATAACGGATTCCAAATTGTTAGTAAGGGCATGTTCGAAGATGCTTCCATTGAATTTTCTTTATCAAAATACGTTGTAGCATACATTAGATGCCTCAAACATAGAATGGGATTACTGGTTTTTTTGGTATCAGATTTCAGTCGAGAAATATTCTGTTTCCTATAATGTCAAGAGAGATATCACTGACACAATTATTGCAGGCGGATGGCCTGCTTCACACTGCCTGTGGAACCCCAAACTATGTAGCTCCCGAGGTATATATACTTGTTCGTACTTCTATTTCGGTTGGGATGATTTTTCTATTTTTATATCTGAGTGAAGAATGTGAGTTATATTTCATCCATAAGTGTACTAAGTTGTTGCCTCTGGTTATGAAAAACTATATCAGGTGTTCAAGGACAAAGGTTATGATGGTACATCATCAGATATTTGGTCTTGCGGGGTCATTCTCTTCGTTCTAATGGCTGGCTTCTTGCCTTTCGATGAGCCAAATCTAATGTCTTTGTATAGAAAAGTTAGTTTTTATTTTTTATTTTATTTTATTTTTTTGTTTTTCCTACTAAACGGAGAGGAGTATTCTCAGAGTATATTTCATATGAATAACAGATTTCCAAGGCCGATTTCAGCTTTCCACCATGGTTCTCAAATGGTGCTAAAAAGTTAGTTCGTCGCATTCTTGATCCAAACCCTCTTACAGTAAGTTTATGACTCCTGTTTTAATTTACTCCCTCTTTTGGTGTGATCTTCCATAAAGTGTATGCCACTGGTCCCATATAGTGATATTTCTGAATGCTTGGTTAGATAGGAAATGATCCCTCACATATTTCGGTATATCGAAGAGTTGTAATTTTGTAGCCTCGAATGTGTCAACTGTTACTTTTATATAATCCTCCTTTTCTTTTCATTACACTGCAGCGAATAACAATAGCTGAAATTCAAGAAAATGAATGGTTCAAAAAGGGCTTCACACCTGCTCATTTTGAAGTGGAAGAGGATATAACTCTCGATGATGTTGATGCCGCATTTAGCAGCTCGAGGGTGAGAATTTTATAACCAAACTAATTGCTTTGAGCCAAAGGTTAATTTGGTGTAAATAAGAGTTAATGTCTTCATTACTGGCATTCATAACACACAACTTTTCTTGAATCTCTTCTTTTGGGTTGCTTTCTTCCTCACACACACACTTGATTCAATCCTATTAAAGACTAAAGTTCCCTCAAAAGTTGTTTCTTTAACTTCTCTTTTTCTTTTAATTGTTTACTCAGGAAAACCTTATAACAGAAAGAAAAGAAAAGCCAGTGTCCATGAATGCTTTTGAGCTTATCTCTAGGTCACCGGGGTTCAGTCTCGAAAATTTATTTGAGAAGCAGAAGGTACTTATATCATAATTTTTCTGTGTAGCAAGTTAATTGGTGATACATGTATTAATGGCAATGCAAAACTGCAATTGAAATTTTTAAGTAGTAGAAGAAAGATTCATGTTCGACTTTGAACTTTGATGTTACAATGACGAGTAGATTCAGAGCCCTAAGGGCGGCCTTATTGGTAAGGACTGTCATACCAACTTAAGGGTCTCAAGTCCGAACCTTTAGATGAGCTTAATACTAAAAACTCTTATATCTCCTGGGTCTGGGCCTTGAAGCGGGCGTAGATGCCTCCAGGTATTGGGGAGTAAACCTCCAACTCCCGGTTGAAAGAACAAAGACAGGTGGATTCAGTTGATTGAAGCATGTTAAATTAGTTAAAACTTATAAGACACAGCCTCCTAACGAAATGATAGTTTTGCAATAATATAGCTGTCCATATCCCGTTTCTTTAGGGGGATTGGTTGGATGACTAATTCCTTAGTGGTTATCAATTCTCTTGACTGAAAAAATTTATCTATAGGCTGATGCAAAGAGAGAAACTCGTTTTACTTCACAAAGCCCTGCAAACGAGATCATGTCGAAGATTGAAGAGACTGCAAAACCTTTGGGCTTCAATGTTCGGAAGCGGGACTATAAGGTAACCCAAAATTGACTGAAGGTGTAAGATACCTATGTTTCTGAGATGAGTTTTTTTGGAACTCTTGTAATGAGGTGCGATACCACTGCAGATGAAGTTGCAAGGTGACAAGACTGGGAGGAAAGGACAACTCTCCATAGCTACTGAGGTAGGGGAAAATATTATTAATGGTGAACATTATTAACTAGTTTCATTATCTGGTGTATCGAGCTCGTTTCAAGACAATGCAAAAGGACAGAGCTTCTAGAGAGTCTTAATTCTGAATTAACATAAGTTGCCCTCATCATCATCAGGCTCAATTTAGTGATTGGAAATTTAGAACCAAAGGCATGAAACTGTTTTCTTGGTTGGCACAAATTCCCCACAAATAGCTTTATTTGAAGTTATATGGCTTTCTTTCCACGCATTATGCAAAATATGTTTGCCCTTTCAACTCCAGGTGTTTGAGGTGGCTCCTTCCTTGCATATGGTCGAGCTTCGGAAAACTGGTGGCGACACGCTTGAGTTCCACAAGGCATGTCATCAGTATTCGTATTCAAAATTGCAAAGTAAATTCATCATTTCATAGCTAAATTGTACAATGCTATATACTAAACTTCTTTTGCATTTCCATATGACAGTTCTACAAAACTTTCTCTTCGGGACTAAAAGACATAATGTGGAGAACTGATGAAAATACTGTTGAAGGGAGCTAATCTCTCTCTCTCTCCCTCTCCTCTTGCTGTTACGAAGCCGATGGCAACATATCCTCAATGGGTCGATTTCTGTTGTCAGTCACACACGTCGAAACAACATCGAAACGTGGTGTATGAATTATAGAAGCATAAGAAGTCTACCTTTTTTTTTTCTCATCTCTCAGAACTCATTATATACAGAGTAATTGTACAAATAATATCAGTTTCTGAAATGAGAGAAGTGAATTGTTTGCATCTAAGAGTGCTTTTACTTTGATCTACTGTTGAGTTTTACCACAAAACTCGTATAGAAACACAAAAATAGATGACATGACAAAACTTCTTCTCTGCCCTATGTCCGTAGCTATCAAGAATGGAGATCAAACTAGTGAAGCTGAGGCAGAGTATCTTTTCTCTCCAGCAAACTAATATTGTACTGTGATATTGAAAATTATACTTTCATTAGGCTTTTAAATCTCTCCAAGTAAAAGTCAAAAAAAAAAAAAAACTCTCCAAGTAATTTATCTGCAGAAACTTTTGCATCTCTCATTAGGAATTTTTTAGTTTTGAAGTATTAATTTGATTCATAAAGCTTAACACAAGGACTATTTTTAAGAAAATGGGAAGGATATATCATTTGAGGGATTTGAAATTAAAATCTCTATGAAGCTCGTAGATTATAGATTAAATTATAAATTTTAGTTGCTAAAGTGTCTATTTAATCTCATCATGTTTTTTTAGTACAATAATTTGGGAATGTGGGGGGATCGAACCTTCGACCTTGAAGAAATGAGTACATATCAATTACTACTTAACTATACTCATGTTGACAATCTTATCATATTCTTAAACTATAAATTATACTTTTATTCTATCTTTGTATGAAATGTTGATTTGACATGTTCCTCATAAAAAAATTTATAATATTTCATAATATGAAAACATCAACCAGAGAAATAACAATATTTCATAATAAAAGTACTAGAAAAATTGATTAGAAGAATAATTGAATAAGCTCATGATATTTTTTTCGACAATTTTAAATTGTTGGATGCAGGAGAGAAAAACTAAAAATTATGGTTTAACTGTTGATACAAGAGTCAAGAAAGAGTGGCTGCGATGTGACTACATTAAATAAATTGTCTATTCTTTTAGAGTTGGTCTTATATAATTCCGAATGCATTGCATTTTCCCCAAAAGAAAGTTAAGCTGGAAACGTAGCTAATTTATCTTTATGATAATTTTTTCTAATGGTCATAAAAGCCTTTAGTTGACAAAAAAAAAAAAAAAAAATCCAACTTAAAGAGTTTAGATTAGGAGGGAAACATATTTATAGAGTTCTTGGAGCAAAATCATAATCATCGATGATCATATTTAGCTCCAAAGACTCTTTTGGAGAACCTATGATAATGTCACATTTGCTAAGAGATAGCTTAATAAAGCATTCTACTTTACCCGTTCTATTACTACTCTTAGAGTGCAATTATTCAAACTTTGACTGCGAAACTCACGAACTCTAGATGGAAACTCGAAATTGTTCTCATATTTTCTATTGAAAAAAAGAAGAAAACTTGATTTTATTGGAAACGGGAACAAGAAACAAAAAAACTTAGAGTCTGTTTGGTAACAATCATGTTTCATGTTTCTTGTTTCTGTTTCTTCAATTTTAATAAGGAAAAATGAATTGCAAGACCTTGGGTCATAGTGAAACAATCTTTTGATTTATGTTTTGGAATAAATTAGAAATAAAAACAAAAAGAAAAATTTTTTTCCTGTTGTTTCTAAAATTTCTATATGATTTTGAGAATGTTAAAAAAAAATGAGAAACAAGAGATATAATTAGCTGCTTAGATTTCTTAAGAAATTTAAAAACGAGAAACAAAAAACAAAAACGTTATCAAACAAACCCTTATTTTTTTGGTTTTCAAAATTTTTATACAATCTTGAGAATGTTTCTAAAAAAATAAAAAACAAGAAACATAAATAGTTGTCAAATGCTTAAACTTCTCAATAAAACTATAAACAAAATACAAAAATATTACCAAACAGGTCCACATAAATATCCCTCGAGTATGGTACCCATCACTTCTCCTCTGCGATTCCGAAAAGTTGTGCTGTTCTGTTTTAAGGTAATCAAATAGTTGCATACATATTCACCTTGAGCCAATTGAGTTGATTAGACAAATTAATTCTATTAAAAGCCATTAATATGATACCTTTAGGTCTTAGTGATCATAGAACTCAACCTATTCTTGTATATTTCCCAACAGCAATTCGAGAGTGCACTCTCTAAGCCTATTCTCTTCAAATGCTTCTCAAACTTAATTTGGCACACCTGACAAGAGAAAGAATTCACATTTATTTCCAAACAATAATTACCTCATTATAATCAGATTAGGCGAATGTGGTTAGTCATTACTTTTAATAGATAGATTAGAATGATTGTTATTAACTAACAATAACTAATATTAAACATAGTCATTGATTAAGATTTATTTAGTACATTAGGTAAAATATTTATTGGACCATTATTTAACATGAAAGAACTAAAAATTTAGCATAATTAAGGGAGGGAGGAAGAAGGGAGCCTAGAAGTTTAAGGAAAAAATAAAAGAAATCCGAGCATAGAGATGAGCTGGACAAGTCATCAAGGGAAAATGGAAGCATATAGAAAGTATAGTACATGGTCTAAAAGAGAAATTAGAGGAAATTCAATTGAGGGTAGTTTAGGAAAACAAAATGAAATTAGATAAGAGTGTCTATCTTAGCATAGAGGAAATTGGATCTATGACAATGAAAGAAAATGAACAAAATAAAAATATGAAAGGGAATGAGAAACGTAAACAAATCTACTCTTAACTTTTATTTACAAAATGGTTATCAAAACGGACTCTTAGAAAATGGCACGACCAGCTAAAGTAGATTGAAAGATGAAAATATGCAAGAAAATGGTTCCTCTAATCAGCTTCTTTGGGACACACAGCAGTCGTATGATAACAGTGACATCAACTAATGGTATCCTTCCAAAACAACTAAGAACTTTTCTCCTACCTTCTTTCATTTTCAAAGAAGCTAACAAGAAAGTGATAGGAGTACCTTTTTGGAGGAAAAGTTTAGGCACGAACATAAATGATCAATTCATCTGCAGAGAGAGAGAAAAAAAGAAGCTAGATGGAACTGATTCAGATCTTAATAATCATAGCTAACTAGAAGAGTGAGGAGAAAGGTCATTTAAGAAGAAAATTGCAAATAAATTTCTAACTACCAATCTCAAAACCACTACAATTGAAAAAAGATTTCTACATTAATTAAGTTTTTGATTAGAAAGCTCTTTCTGTCCAACTTACTTGCAGAGATGTGTGGTTGTTGAGCTATCTCACCATTCTTGGAAATACTCCCATTTATTTTAGAGGACACCCCTCCTTGCTTTTAATTCTTCTCTATTCATTATATCTATCCTTGCTTGGCCTGCTGCCAAGTGCCAAACCCTCTCTGACTCTCTACCCCTCTATTGTAAGTGTGCAAGTCATTTACCTTCATTAATTTCTGCCTATATCCCTCTTCTTCTCTGGGTCGCCTTCTTCTTGCGGTTATATAAGCTGGGACAGATTGTTCTTCAAGAACTCAACCAGAACTGTGAGACTTGAGAGGGAGCTGCACAAAGATTGCAGAGAGAAGTTAGCAAAAGATTATAATATATGGAGAGAATTGAGATGGATACCGAGGGATTAACGGCAGAAGTAGAGCTTAAGGACTCCTCCTCCATCCTCATCAGAATCCGGCGAGGCTTGCCGGACTTTTTACAGTCAGTTAAGCTCAAATATGTCAGATTAGGATATGGGTACTCATCCAACTCTGCCACTACTCTTATGTTGCTCGTTATCTTGCCTCTTTTCATTTCCAAGCTTTCCGGTTTCAAACTCTTCCGGGTGTCTGACTTACTGCCGGCCACAAGATTTCAGTTCTATGGGATTGATGCAACTACGGCCATTTCCGGTTTACTGTCGATATTTCTCCTCGGCCTCTACTGGTCCAAGCGATCCACACCGATTTATTTGGTGGAGTTTGCCTGTTACAAACCGGAGGATGCGAGGAAGGTAACGGTGGACAGCTTCATCGAGATGAGCGCAGAGAGCGGTGCCTTTAAAGAGGAGGCCATTCCGTTTATGACGAAAGTAGCAAAGCGAGCCGGTCTTGGCGACGAAACCTACTTATCCAGAGGAATTGCTTCTCAGCCGCCGAATTTGTGTCTTGACGAATCTCGCTTCGAAGCGCAGACTGTAATGTTCGGCGCACTCGATGCTCTGTTCGAGAAAACCGGCTTGAACCCCAATGAAATAGGAATCTTAATCGTCAACTGTAGCTTATTCAATCCCATACCATCGCTATCCGCCATGATAGTGAACCACTACAAGCTTCGAACCGACATTAAGAGCTACAATCTTAGTGGTATGGGCTGCAGCGCGGGTCTGATCTCCATTGCGCTCGCTAAGGACCTTCTCAATGCAAACCCTAACACGTACGCAGTCGTTCTGAGCACCGAAACTATAACCCTAAATTGGTACTTTGGCAACGATCGTTCGATGTTGGTCAGCAATTGTCTGTTTCGGATGGGAGGAGCCGCCGTGCTGTTGTCGAACAAGCCCGGCGATCGAGTCCGGTCGAAGTACGAGTTGGTTCACACGATTCGGACTCACAAAGGGGCCGACGATAAGAGCTATAATTGCGTGTATCAGAGAGAGGACGATAATGGAAAAATCGGAGTCTCACTCGCGCGCGAATTAATGGCGGTCGCAAGTGAGACATTGAAGACCAACATTACGACTCTAGGTCCATTGGTACTGCCATTTTCAGAGCAATTCGCGTTCTTCGTTTCTATGGTGAAAAAGAAAGTGCTGAAAGCGAATGTGAACCCCTACGTACCTGACTTTAAGCTCGCTTTCGAGCATTTCTGCATCCACGCTGGCGGAAGAGCGGTACTGGACGCGCTGCAGAAGAACCTGCAACTCAGTGAGTGCCACATGGAACCGTCGAGGATGACTCTGTACCGATTCGGAAACACATCGAGCAGCTCGCTGTGGTACGAATTAGCTTATACAGAAGCAAAGAATCGAGTCTCGAAAGGCCACCGGATCTGGCAGGTGGCGTTCGGAGCCGGTTTCAAGTGTAACAGCGCCGTTTGGAAGGCGCTGAGGAATATTCCGGCGACCGAGTGCGACCGAGTCAACCCGTGGCTCGACTCAATTGACAGTTTTCCGGTCAAGGTTCCCATTGAATGATCGTAGCCTCTATGTGATACACAGTATCCATAAATGCTAAACCCACGTGGGAGATTATGAATGGCTGTGGGTCCTTTTTATTTTAATTCTCTCTTTCCAAAAAAAACAAAATGAGAAAACATAAAGGCAAAATATACACCCCATAGTCTCTCGATTTAATTTTTAATCTTTAAAAAAAATTACCTTTAATGTATTTCAAATTCTCATATTATATTGTCTTTTTTGTGTTAACAAGTTTATTAAGAAAAAGTATAATAATGGTTAAATAATTATTTAATTAACATATCTCAACACGTTAACATCTCATTCTAATTTTAAATTGGACTAATTCATTTTTAAAATTCGACCCACTAATTAACAAAATCAATATTTTATTGGGTGGAATGTAGAGTTGCATGCCCAATAAAAACCATAATTTAACAATATATCACATTTTATTAATAAAATTCAATCTTTTTTAAAAGACCTAATTGATAATTTTTAATGCATTAAAAATAAATTTTAGAATTTTAAAAGGTTAAATAAGAATTTGAAAATTATCTAAAAAAAATGTGAACTATTTGTAATTGGTTGAAAGCCCAAACTCTTTTTAGGTTTCTTAGACCTACTAAATTAGAGATCTCAAGTTTCAATATTCGAGTGAGTTTAATATAAAATTTTTTTTTGATGTCTTTTGAGTTGGGGAGGGGACATGGGTGCCCTAGGACGGAGCTCTTGGCGTCGAAGTTGGTAAGGGTGCGAAGAAAACTAGTTGAAAAGACTATCGAGAAGGAGAATCATTGTGTTAATGGAATAATTGATGAAGAATGAATGTTTTGTTACACAAGATTTCAACTGTGACGGGGACAAATAATTAAACAACAATTTTGTTATTATTAAAATTTAGAATATATTGTAAGAAAGACAATCAACTCAGTTGAAAAAAGATAAATTTTTTTTATATTTTAAATTCCTATTCAGAAAGATTACTTACCCCGAACCATCAAGACTCGTATATGCAAATCTATACTATTGAAGAGAATGAATTGAAGTTGATAAAAGATTAATTTCCATTATTAATACATAGTTGACAAAAGAAAAAGTATGTAAAAGGGCTCAAAAGGAAATATTCAAAACAAATCTTCTTTTCAAGCACTTAGAAATAACAGATAATGTAACTGAAATTATTTATATTGAATAAGAAGTATATCTCATGGCGTGTACCTTATCAATATTATCAATTTCAAAATTCAAATATATATTTACTCTCTAACAAATTTTATTTTATCAATAAAACATAAAAGGAAGTGTTTGCTATTTGCCTGAGAAAGTGTAATTTTAAATGATAAAATATTTTTTTTAATAACGAAAAATCAATAAAGTCTATATAATTCAATAAAGATTTAAATAATTTTAAAGGAAGTTTAATAAGTTCCCCTAATTCATTTTTTATTTGTATAACTTATCCTTATATAACTTCATCTTCTTTCCAAAGGAAAGAAACTTTCTTTATATAATATGCAAAATAAAACAAAATTTCAAAACATAATCAGGATGAAAAAGTAAAATAAAAATATCAAAACGACTCCGTGATAATTGACAAATTGATATATAAAATTTGAATCTCTGAATTGAAAAGAAATAGATGTTATTCAATAATTTCATATTGGTGTGAAAAAAAAAAGAAACTTTTGTTAAATTATTAATTTATTATCTTATCAAATGTCGTCTATAAAAATTTAATTTTCTTAAGAAATATATATATATATGTATATATTATATTTTGAATTTTTTGGGTGAAGATATATGCTAATTACTGCTAAACTATATTCAATTTAACAATATTATTTTCATATTTTAAATATATCAATGAAATAACATTTTAAATTATTTCATATACATCGTGATTTAAAATCTCTATACATATCTTTTTTTTAGCACACTAAAAAGTTTAAAATGTTAATGGTGGAATTTAAAATTAATATTTAGCTTAAAAGAGTACGAAAAGCAAAGAGTCGAATTTGCACCAACCAGCGAGTCACGGGCCCATTTATCACTGCCACTGTGTTCATCACTTCTCTTCCAGTCGAACCAATTTCTTCCGATGCTTCCCCTCCTGCGATTCCTCGCCCTCCTGCTTCATTTCATCTTCTTCTCCTCTTTTCCTTCAGCCTTAGCTGAAAATTATGAGGACCCAACGATCAAAACCATGGAGGCTTTCTCTGGGTATCCTGTTCACGAACCATCCTCCTTTGGCGTTTCAAATCCCGTTACTTCTCTGTCTGTTGACGCGGAGAACTTGGTGAAACAGGTATGAAGTAAATGGATTGCAATCGTAGAGGGTCTTGATCAGTTATAAATTATTTTTTTGTTTTGTGGAATTGAGCATTTAGATTGAGGAGCTTTCTACTTTCTCGGACTCTCCTGCCCCATCGGTTACTAGGATTCTTTACACTGAGAAGGATGTATTGGCACGAAGGTATGGACTCTGTCGACTCTAATCCCAAATTTACATTTACTATAGGGAGGACATTTCAATTACTTGTTTAATTCATTGTATTATTATTTGTTTGTTTACTTGTACAAAAATGAGAATGATTATCGGTTGCCCTGATATGACCCTGATCAAGTTTCATGAAAGCATTGGTATACTTTTCTCCGATCAATTTCTCAAATGCAGAAGCAAGGTGTGCTTGGTAATTAATTGTTGTCTGCTGGCTGCTGCTATAACTGGCATGGTGTTTATTAGCTAGTTAGAAGATTCTATACGTTACAACTATTATTGAATTCCCATTTCAAATCCCAGTGGCGTGGTGTTACTCTTCTCTTGGTCTTTCGGTCGTCCTATTTAAAATTCTCCATAACCAGTCTGCGACAAGGGTGCCATGTGTTTTAACTGTGCTCACGGTTAAATTCTGCAGTTTTCTTCCTGATTACTATCTAGGCTGAAGAGAATGAGATGCTGTACAGCGATTCATTCGTTGCATTATGTGCGTTGGCCTTACTTCTTTCTTTGCTTGCAGTTTCGTTAAAAACTTAATGGAACTCTCTGGTCTCTCTGTTAGAGAGGATGCTGTTGGTAACATATTTGGTAGATGGTGAGTAAATCTGCAACGGCCATCCATGTCTTTATGTACTATCAAGCATAAGATCAATTGTGTCCTACGTCTTATTTTCTCAGGTCTGATGGAGTCTTTTCTTGTTTACTTTTTATGCAGGGATGGCTCTGAACCAGAGCTTCCTGCTGTTGCAACAGGCTCTCATGTTGATGCAATTCCATTCTCTGGGAAGTATGATGGAGTTGTTGGTGTTTTAGGTGCTTTAGAAGCCGTCAATGTCTTGAAAAGGTTTGCTACTTTTAGAAACAGTTCTGAAGGGTCTTTGAATTTGCAAGTTCGCTTGCTTACCTGGGACAAAAGAGTAGCTTTTAGCTGAGTCCTTATTCAGTCAAGTTATTAAAAATTAACTGCTTCATGTTCAAATTTATGTAGCTTATATGAATTGTTTCATGCAATAGTGTAAAGAAGTATGTGGAAGGATACTAGTAAGAGAAACTCTTTTAAGTTTCAAACCTCTAACTTAGATTTTGGCAGGTCTGGGTTTAGACCTAAAAGGTCGCTGGAAATTATCTTCTTCACTTCTGAGGAACCTACACGCTTTGGAATCAGCTGCTTGGGTAGGTGAGGATTATTACCAATCAATCTTGTTCACCAAAAATGAAGATTATTTACAAATAACAACCTTCTACTATTTCCTTCTCCTCCTCGCCCCCTCCCCCCAAATTTTGGTTTTAATTTTTAAAATTTTTTTTTTTAATAATATCAGTCTTTAGTTGATGCTCATTCACTTTTTCTTTGGTGGGTAGCCGTTTGTTGGCGGGGAGTGATACACTTGCTAAAGCTTTGGAGACAACTGTTGATGGTCAGAATATATCATTTATTGATGCTGCTAGTTCTGCTGGCTACTTAACTGATCCAGCTCAGATATCGACGGTGTTTCTAAAGAAAGGAAGTTACTCTGCTTTCCTGGAATTGCACATAGAGCAGGGTCCCATTCTGGAGGAAGAAGGTATGTCCTTTTAACTTTGGTTCCTTAAATCCTCTGATTTTTGTCATAATTAATATATAATTTATAATATAGGTATATCTATAGGAATTTTGAACATTCATGAGTGACATTAATCTACAATCCAGGTATACCTATAGGAGTAGTGACTGCAATTGCAGCACCTGCTAGTATAAAGGTGGAGTTTGAAGGCACCGGAGGCCATGCCGGTGCTGTACTGATGCCATATAGGTGATAAATTATATGGAGATTAATATTTCTTATCCAGACTAGTACTAGTAGTGCCTACATCATTTTTTTTTACTTTGATTCTGCATATCATTTCGTTCATTACATAGTATTGAATAATATTAAAAAGGGTTTAATCATATTGCATTATAGAATGAATACTATGATGAAGTCATTTTGCATCCTCCCTTTCATGATTATGGGAAACTTATTTGACAGAACGCTTTGTTTGCTATTTTATTAAAAATTTGATCAGAAAAGGTCAAGGGGTGGTGCTTGAGGGTGTAGAGAGATCTTGATATGAGTTGTAGAGTGTCAAAAACTCTAATGCCTCTCTTTGTGCAGTGTTCAATGTTCATACAACTAAATGCCCCACTTTTTCTTGTTGATTTCCTCTGTTTTTCCATCACGAACAAGTGGAACTCAAACTTATTATTCGGTTTTCACATGTGTTTTTGTTCGGCTTATATTTTCTATACTGTCATTCGCCTTAAAGAGACATAATTCTTAAATGAAAAAAAAAGTTATTATTGGATCACAGTAATAGACTGTAAATTTCAAATGTAAGCAGAAATGATGCTGGACTGGCAGCAGCGGAGCTAGCACTAGCAGTTGAGCGGCATGTATTGAGCTCTGGATCTATCGACACTGTCGGTACCGTTGGTAATTCTTCATAACCAAGTGTGTATTATGTCATTCTTTAACATCCTATATCTAGCAAAAAAAAAAAAACATTTTCTTCTACCTACCTTGCGAAACCTGAAGTTGATTAAAAACAAACTTTTCTAGGTATTTTGGAGCTTCATCCTGGAGCAATCAACAGCATCCCTAGCAAATCTCATCTGGAAATAGGTTGAGGTTTTCCTGTAAATCTTAATAATTCAAAAGTTTAAGCCATATGAAAAAAGTGAAGATATGGTTGTGTATTTTGACTGCATTTTATGTTCATTTGAGTTTTCTCTTTTCTAATAACAGACACTAGAGATATTGATGAAGAGCGTAGAAACACCGTAATTAAGAAGATTCACGAATCTGCCATTGAAATAGCTCAAAGGCGACGGGTCAAACTATCAGAATTCAAAATTATAAACCAGGATCCACCAGCGCATTCTGAGAGAGCAATAATAGAGGCAATGGTTTCTGCAACAAAAGAGCTCAATCTCACAAACAAGCTGATGATTAGTAGAGCATACCATGATTCGCTGTTTATGGCCAGGTAACAGAGTGTTAATATCAAATTTTCAAGTACAATAATTATTAATTTCCGAGCTTCCTATAATTTGGGAATCACATCCCTATTAAACGATTCTGAAGGTGAAATGCACTCTCTTAAATATTTAAGAGTTCAAATTAAATTGGAAAACTGAAGAGGACAATACGAACTCTATACACTAGTTTAAACTAGAGAAAACTATGTCAAAAAGATACAAATAACATAAAAGAACACTACTAAATGGTGCAAAACAACTAATGGACAATTAACAAATTCCAAATACTTAGCTTCTGCCTTCAAAAAAGTCACAATTTGTTCAACAGGATAGTTTTCTTCGTTTCCTTGGACAATGCAGAAGATTAGTAATGGCTAGAAAACTTTGGAATTGTGCTGCTAGAGCCCTTATTTGGAACCTCTGGATGGAAAGAAACAATAGAATTTTTGAAGATAAGTCCTCTACGTTAGAAATTTTTTGTAATACAGGACAGTTACACACTTCTTGGTGGTGTTCTAGGCATAGAAAATTCTTTTGTAATTACAGCCTCTCGTCGATTATGCAAGATTGGAGTGCTTTACTTCATTAGTTTTCTGGGAGGGGGAGCCCTCTTCCCCCTGCCCTTAGGCTGTATTTTGTCTATGCTTTTTTCTATATATTAAGTTTCTTAAAAAAAAAAAAAAACTTTGGAATTGTCGACTTAGTTACTCAATTCATTTGGAAAAGCTACTGTTTTTTTCATCATTGGAAACTCGATGCTAAATTTGCATATGTACTACTTTGCAGGGTATCCCCGATGGGTATGATCTTCATTCCTTGCTATAAAGGTAATTTATCTACTCTGCTATCCTCTAGTAAATAGCAGTACTATGCTCAAGTAAAACAGTTTTTTCTGTCTCTAACATGTTTTCAGCACAGACAGAACTTTTGGAAACATCTTTCCTTTGTAATGAGTCAGAGCCCTTAGGGAAAATTTGAGCCTATTATAATGCTACTGCTCTTGCAGGGTACAGTCACAAGCCCGAAGAATTTGCTTCTGCTAAGGATATGGCAAATGGAGTTAAGGTACTGGCCCTTACCCTTGCCAAATTATCGCTGCAGTGATATCTTATTCCAAATTCTTGTAAAGTTATACTTTCTTTGAAGTCCTTGTTAAATTGGAGCCTTGTCCCTTATGAATTGTTATAATAAATTTTGAATTTACATATGGACGCCTGGTGGGTGACTTCAGAATTGGATAATTAGTGTGTGCGTGAGTGCAAGAGACACAGAGAGAGAAAAGGGATCAGTCTGTTTATCCAATTTGAAGTTGTTTTTCAGTTACAAAGAAAGAAGTATGGGAAAAAAGAGGAACTCTTCTCCTTAGGTTCTAACTTCTATTAGATTGAATCTGCTTCCTCTAAAGACAAGCCAGACCCAAGAATGATACTACGCTATCAAAACTTGTATCAACAATCTTCACTTGTTGTAGCAGTCATAATGTTCTTGGTTTTTTCTGCATTTACCAATGCAATCTCGATCTAGCAAAGAAAACAAAGAATACATCACTAAGCCACGAAAGACCCAGAAATTGCACAGTAAATCAGACAAATTTTCTTTAGTATGCATCTTGTAGGCGTTTACCTTAGGTTTCATAACCAGCCGGTCATTTTCTCCATTCTTCAAACTGACAGAAGATATCGTCAAGTCTGCAGAATTTTCCCAAAACAACTGATTCTGTTTAGAGACTGCCCTTCACCGAAAGATATAAAGAAGATCAACGGGTTCGATAAAAAATTTCTTACTCTTTTCAGATGCCAATCCATTCTTCTTGAGAATCTCGGCAATTGTCACTACTGTGGGTATAGCTGTATTATGAATGAATGGAAGTCAGTTATTTTCATTGAACTGTTCATAAATTGTGAAATTGTGAAAAGAAATGGATTCAAGAACACATACCCATGCCTAAGGCAGAGAGCTCAACTTCGTTGTACTGCTTAATGTACCTCTGCAACACAGGAGGAAGCGTTAAACCCCAACCAAGATTTTGATTTTCTAAAGACGAAGCTTAACAAAGAAGTCGATTCCACAGAATTTCCCCCAATCGAAGCAAGAAAGTTTACGAATTATGAAACGTATATAAGATTACCTTGGAAAGATTGTAGTAGTAGAAGAACGGCTTCTTGACGTTGGAAACCTGAATTTGGTTCTTCTTCTTCTTAAACTCGGTCAAAACAGCAATCTCCTTGACTTTACCATCAGGAGCAACGACGAGAAGCTTTTCGTTCTCGTTTCGGATTTCACTCTTGACCTCAGTGGCCTCCGAGACGACTATGGCGGACTCCATTGCCGAATTTCTCTGCGTGTCGCTGAAAGAGTAGTGTGCAGAAGGAACGAAAAGATTCTACTACAAATTGAGAAGAACTTTGGTACAATAAAAGCGAATTGCAGAAGTAATTTATATAGGATTTGGAAGGCGAAGGATGTTGAAGGAAATCAGTGTTCGTTCCGATGGAGGCGTTTTGGCGGTTAAGGGTATCAAAGGATTCGTTAAGCGGCCATACACCGGCACGGCAGTTACTGCATTTTCCGGTGACTGTTCCGCCACTGCTTGTATGAAGAAATGAAAGCAACGGAAAATATGAGGAATATTATAAATTTGAAGTAAAATTTACAATTTTTTTTTAGTCAAAGTAAAATTTCAAGTTTTTTTTTTCTTTTTTTGAGTACGTAAAATTAAAGTTAACTTTAGTTATATAACGAATTTAGAAAAATGGCGAATAAAATTTTTAAATTTTAGCATAGATCCTTTAAACATTAAGAAGCATGTAATATGTTTCTAAACATATAAACAATTTAAAATTAAATTACATTCAGCTATGTATAATAGGTTTCTGAATTTAAAAAAAAAAATATATATATATATAATAATTTCAAAATTTTTAGTGTTGTGTTTAATAGGTTTTAAATTTTGAAAAACACTCTCAATTTTATATCTACTAAATCCTAATTTATGAGATACTTTTTAAAGTTTAAAGACAAAAAAAAATTGAACGTTCGAAAACTTAATTATTAGATTCTTTTTAAAATTTAGTGACTCATTAGACGTAATATTAAAATTTCAAACGCCTGTTGGACACATTTTAAAGTTGAAACACTAATCATACGCAACTTTCAAAATTCAAAGATTAAACTTGTAATTTAACTAAAAGTTGTTAATGAACTTTCAAGGCTGCATCTATCTTCCYTATATTTTAAAATTTTTTATTAAATCSATCAATTTGATTCTTTTCTACCTAACTATATAAGTTATTGTTATTAATTTTGTATATCTGAGATCTATTATYGTTCAATTGTACTCGTTTTTAGTAATAAAATTAAAATAGTTAAACATGACGTYGGATTATGGAATAATTCCAATTTCTATATATCATCAAAGGGAGGGATGAGGGTCCCATTAATGTTGGGATAKGATTTTTCTTTTTCCATGATTACGTAAGTGCCTCATTATGAAAAGTCTTACGAAGCAAAAGAAAAAGGGATTTCCATGACAGCGTAAAGTGCCTACTCCTTCAACCTCTATTTCCAATTAAAACAAATTGGATTTGACCATACACTAAATGGTCCACACCATGTGATTTCCTTACTAATATTTGGTTCATAACATTTACGTCGTTTCATTTCAAACCCTAATTTAATTGAGCGAGATTTTTAATTTTAATTTATTTGGGTCCCTATACTTTCAAAACGTTCATTTTAGTTTATGTTGGGTTTGTAAGGTGATTGCAAACAAAGTCACACATTGATTAGGGAAGGGAATGATCATGAGTACATAGAAGAGACAATTATCTTCATTGGCATGAGGGGAATTTAACATTATTTTAGTTACTAACTACTATACTTTCAAACGGTTTATTTTAATCTCTRTACTTCTAAGTGATCAATTTGGTGGTCTTTTCATTTTTATTTCTATCTCATTTCTTTCCATTATAACTATGCTTACTAAAAAWTTCTTAAAATATAGCCATGAATTTTTATTAAAGGAAGTTGTGTTAAGATTACGTAGATAGAGACCGAATATATATTCTCTGATGTATATTTGATATTTTATGACGGTGATACCAAACTTATTTAAGTGGGTCATTAAATGGAGGTTACTTCTGTACCAAAACTTCATTGACAAAGCTTCTAATTAAAAGTAAATATTATTTCATTGCCTCTGAAAATTGTAAAGTGTGGCATGTGGGATTATTTATATAGCCTTAACTTGGGTATCCATAACAAGCCATTGCATTTACCTCAATCTTACACCAATTCTTCCTCTATTTGTACCACTTTCATTATCTCTGTGACAGATAGTTTTTAATTTCCTCACCAAACTCTATAACATTATTATTTCATACAATTTCTTGAAATTTCTCATAAGAATTAATCCGTCCATTGTTATTTTATTTCTTTTAAATTCCTTTCCTTTAAATCACTTGGCCTAATATCCCAAGTAATCTCGATTCCTTTAGGGCATGTTCATTCACACAATAATAAAAATATATTAACAACGTGTCTTTTGCACTTTTTTCAAGAAAAGAAGAGCTCATACTTACTTTCATTTACAATATATACATATTAATATATAAGCTGGTAGATCTCGTATTAATAACAATTAACTACGTAAAAAAGTAAATCAAAGTTAC